ATCTCGTTGCCTTGGTTAAATATAATCCAATGATCAGGACATTTTCAATTAAATACTGCACAAAGATAGTTATACATTAAATATTTAGGCTAAAATTTAGCTTTTTTTTTAAATTTTAATCATGCATTGTGGTGGAGAAATCCCACTATTTAAATACGGGTAACTATAAAAATAGAATAGGATTCTGGATTCGATTTAAGTATTCTAAAACAGTGGTTCCCAACCGCCGGTCCGCGGACCGTAAACGGTCCGCAAAGGATTTTTACCGGATCGCGGGGAATCCCGTCATATTGTTGTTTCTCTGCCGTCCCAATCGCTTTACCATGCCGAAAAGACGAAGTTGCGTTGGTTCATTACGCAATTTCTCTTCCGTCGTCATATTGCTGTTTGATAAGCGCGACATTAATTATCACGGTGACGTATTGGCAAGAGAGAGAAAAGTGAGAAAAACGACTGCAAATACCGAAGCTCTAACTTCTTCTACTTTTTAAACTTTCACTTTTTACAATCGACCGAATTGACTGCTTTGAAGAGAGCTCGTTTCAATCGCGAAAGCGCTCGACCAATAATTACAACTTTACGTAATTCGTAACTACCCTTCCGTAACTCGAAATAATTCCGTAATTCCGTAAATCTGTAAATTACGTGCAAGCCTACCGGTTATATTTTATTTCAGGTTTTTTTTAGTTTGAAAAAACAGTATTTGTTCCTTGTATTCTTACGCCTCCAAAGTTGGTGTTGCAGTTATCCGCACAGAATTTAACAACTTTTCCTTTTAATTAAATGATTTTGATCGAAAACAGAGAGCAAGTATTCAGAAAAAAGAGTTGCGGCGGTTTCCGCGGGTAGAGATTGGAATTCTAATAGTTTTTCTTCACACCAACATCAGGTAAATAATAACGAACGACAATTGAACTGGAACAAGCTTTAAACCTTTTATGTTAATGCAACGATGGTCACTGATACAAAACTAGTTTGAAGTAAATCATCATTATGTTCAGAGGAGAGCAGCAATGCAATTAACAATCAGTTCTAAGGCAAAAAAAATAATTTAGAGGTGCAGTCAAAACTTTGGCCATGAATAGCAGTGTGATAAGCAAATGTCGCCTCCTTGACTGCCAACGACAACGAATCATCCGAATTTGGTATCGCAAAGAAGTTGGTCTGTCGAGCCGATGCCTCAATTGTTGTTTGTGCTTCCTGCTTCGGAAGAAATGGTCATGAATCAACATCCGTGCGTCACAGAAAAAAGACAAAATCAATCCGTTTAAGTAATTAAATATCATCCCATATTTTGCTACTGCAAACTCTCTACCGAACACTCTATAATAAAAAGCCAAGGTGTTTGGCCTTTTTACCAACGAATTATGTGCATGTTGTTGGAGAAAATATTGATATGTGATAAATGATGACATGCATTGTTTGTCAGACCATGAGCTTGCTATTTATTTTGAGAATTCTCAGAGCCTTGTAGATTAAAATCCGAATGGTGGCAATGAAAAACATTACTCGGTATCCATTTGATGCCTAGCGAAAATTTAGGTCGGTTATCCATTGTTACTAGTAATCACACTGAATGTTTTGCGATGAAAAAAAAAGATTTTTGCGTGACAATTTGATGCTGAATAGAATATGATTTATATATTTGTCCCAAGGGAGAGGGAACCCTATATCGCCCGCCGCTCTTTCGTCCGGTTACCAGCCTATGTCTGATAACTTAGTCAAATTTGTTGATTAAAAGCTTGAGTTGTACCGTTTTTTAGCCTACTTATCCACACAGCGTCATTTGTTTGCGTGATAGAAATTCCAACCAACCTGGGTTCTTAGCATATATTAGATGAATACCCGGGTTCCAGGTAATATGTGAATGATTAATGAAGCTTAAAAGTGATCGAGAAAATGTTTCACTACTTCGTGGTAATAACTGACGAGCCCTAGTTACCTTAGCTAGCCTTTTTTGCACAACATGAATACTTCTAGAAGTAATAAATAGTGGAGATGATTTGCAAAACACATTAATATCAATAATAGAATATTGGTGATGTTGAAAAATGTTGATTGAAAACGTTCTGCTTCTTTAAAAATTTCTTAGTATTGTAGTAAATTATTAAACAATTCCGATGACAGTCACCAGACATTTGTTGGTAAATTATCAAAAACTCATTTATAAATTTATATCATGACAGGGCTAAGGACCCCTACTTATGTGTTTGCTTGATTATATATATAATGGCCGGCGATTCTAGCTAATCAATAGAATTTAATCTGATAAGCTTAAAGTTTGCTAAGTCATGCCTGATCATTTCTGTGCTCGATTTATATATACCAACTCAACTATAATCGAATACAAGATCCTATTGCGTAATATGCGTAAACTTAAACAACTGATTTAGCTGAACAATAGCTACGTATATTTGCCGTTAAGTTAAAATTGTGTATCTTCCTCCTTGGATCATTTTAGTTCACTCGTTATTTTGTTTTTAGTATTTATAATGTATTCATTTTAAGCAATAATATTCAAGTTCAAGGTGCATTGAACGGATCAAATTTTTACATTAACCCGGGAAGAAAGCCTGTATCAACTCAATAGCTGAACAAACGACCATTTCTCCCCAAATCTGTTGTCCATATTAATGCCTAGGCCTCAAGGCGGTTTTACAAAATTATCTAGTTGCTAACCGGCTTTAGTTGAAATTAAATCAGTCTTTTTTGCTCGTTGGCCATAATGTAGTGCGGGAAACGAATCCCTTATGCTGACTGTAAGATTCAAAATATGGAATGATAATAACCCTAGTAGTCCAATAGGCCGAACACTCCCGTGAATGAACTGGCTATCACATTGCGGTTGAATTGATCTGGAATTATAGTGTCATGGTGTTTTTATGGTGTTCTTACCCCATTAATACTTTCTGATTAGATCAAATTTACATACAGAGTGAGCATAGTTTACGTAAAATGTCGAATAAAATCACTAAATGCTACTTTGTTCAGTATTTTTGAGCTGCAAAAACTAACCAAGATGCGCACAATTTCGGCGATCGCTCTCATTCTCTTAACCGGTGTAATTCGTTTGTACTCATACGCTACAGATTACATTCCTTGGTACTGTATTTGAGAATACATTTTTTCATATTGACATTTCTATTTTCATCACGACACTTTTTACTCAGTTACAATTTTCTTTTCTATTGACACAATGTGATGCAGCCTCATTGTTCCATATCTTTGTCGCCAGTTTATTATACACCTATTTTAGTATAGAGAAAAATCTCTCATATAGAAAGAAATGGTCATGAGTTAACCCTTGGTCCTAGTGGGTAGATTCAAACGGTATTAGTTTCATATTTCTATCCCTTCTTCATAGAAAAAAGAAAGAAGATAATAAGTGTTTGGCTAACGAATTATTGTGCACGTTGTAAGAAAAAATATTGGGATGTGATAAATGACAATATGCATTGCTTGTGAGATCATGAGCTTGCAGCATGAGAATTCATTTGCTGCCTGACAAAAATTTAATTCGGTTACCATGGCAAATTTATTGTTGCTAACGTAATCATTCTAATTGTTTTGGTAGTGACTGCGATAAAATGTGAAATTTTTTTTTTTGTTCAACATGAAAAAACTTTATGCTGGATTTACACATTTATCTGAAGAAAATGGAAAGCTTAGAGGTCGGCTTAATCATAGCGAACCACGGCCTCTCGTCCAGTTCCCAATCCTTGTCGGGTAACGGGATCAGTTAGACTGTTATTCGTTTTCCAGATGCATGAATTTGATGGTGGAGGACCGATCAGCGATTACGTGAACCAACCTACGGAGGCTAGTCCAGCAATCCTCTCGCACTTAATTATCCCCGCATGGGATTCGAACCAAAGAACCCACGAAGGGTTATCGGAGTTGAGGCGGCGAGCGCATTCCAAACGCTTAGCAAGACGAGCCAGACCGCAAGACAATACTGAAATCGCATATAGTCATATTTACTATCAAGTAAAATTCATTTATTATCAATTAAAAGAGCGGTATGGTAGTGGCACTAGCCAACGTAAAATTTTGAATTAATTGCCTCATGCTAACTTATAGCTCAAATTGTAACGTTTTATAAAATTATATTTACACAGCTTCGTGTATTCGCTTGATGTAAATTCCAACTTGGGTTCTCAGTATTAGGTGAATGATTAATATAGCATAAAAGTTTTTAAAATCGCTTTTCCCCGAACTCCCTATTCGACGGGAATGTTTCGTTGAGGCCTGGAATTCCGTTTACTCCTCATTTTTACAGAAAAAATAAATACCATCTGCGAGCCTCACCTGCATGTTCAAGTATAAAAAAAACGTCAGTATCGGCGGGTCAAGTCATTCCTACTATTTAAAAAAAAATTAGTGTTAAATTGGCGCTAAGCAAGACATATAGACTTTTAACAAAATGAATAGAGATGACTAGAAAAACCCATTAAAATCAAGGGTAGATTATTGGGAGTGATGTTGAACAATTTTGGTTAATACCTTTCTGCTAGTGAGGTCGGTCGCGGTAAGGCTTTTTAAAAAGTTTCTTTGTATTCTGGTAAATTATTAGACAATTCCGATGACAAACATCCGACCTTGCGAATAAATTCAAAACTCTTTTATAATTGACGGCATGACGGTTTCAGGGACACTTGCTTGTGTGTTTATACAGCTCTCATATATATATATCAGTGCAATTCTCAATTGTTAGTTCAATTGAACGCGATTGTTTCTATGCAGCTTCTTAATAAATATATGTCTTGCGTCGAGCTCTTCAAGTTAAGGATTATAACCAAATTCTTGAATAATAAATTATGTATCAAACATGTTACAACCAATTTAGAACAGTGAACTAGAATTATTCATAAAGCCCGATTTCCAAGATGGCATGAATTAATTTTGTTTGTAGCACATGTCAAAACAAAAATTGTTGTTAGGTTCAAATTATCTGTTGCAAACATCCATATTAAATCATCGTAAGGGGCTACATATTCAGGCCTTTAAAAAAAGTTTTTATTGTTGCATAGAATTAAAAAAAAAATTAAATTTATCCGTATGGCATCGACATCTAAGGAACAAAAAAAGTTAGAAAAAATTAAGGAAATGCTTGAGACAAAAAGCGAGGACAGTGACAGTGATGACGAGGAATCTGACCAAGACACGAGAAAGATTGCCATTGACAATGAGAAGCTTGCATGCACTATACATCTTCTTTATTCTGCTAGCAAAATAAAATTGTACAAAATCGCAGAAAAGATTTTGACATGCCGTGTCCCCAAAGACTTAACACTCTCCAGCCAAGAAAACGTGCTACCTATTCCGGAAGCTGAAACATGGAATTTCCGACTCGGAGATAAAGTCAAAATCAAATATTCTATGAAAGATTTTAAATCGATTCAAAATCGTACATTAGGGTGGAATGCGAGGCTGAGAAATGTATACGGGTGTGTTGGAATCGTCACCCAATTGAAAAGCGTTTATGAAAATGCTGTGACTGTGTACACACCGACCAGACTATGCAACAGTTCCCTCTACGTCGGTCTGCTGGAAAAGATTGCACCAGACAAAGATGATGATCCCGTGTCGTCACAGTGGAAAGTGAATGACTATGTCACCACAAAAGTAGATATCAAAGTAGTTCAACTTCTACAAAAACACCTGGATGATATTCCAATAAAATATTTAGGAAGAAAAGGCAGAGTTATTGCCGTGACGAGAGTAGCTATAGTAGTGACTTTCGATGAAAAGATGAGCTTTGACATAAATTCGTATCTGCTTTTACGATGCCCAGACCAGACACCGATCGAATGTAAACCTATACAACACGCCGGAGGGTATAAAATTGGGGAAAAAGTTCAAATTATTCCGCATTTCAAGACATTGATTAAAAATCAAAAAGATAAAGGTGAATGGGCCGATGATATGAGTGAAATAGCGGGAAAACAAGTAGTGGTCATTGATATTCACAAAGACGGAACACTTGTTGTTCAACTTGGCACCGGCAAATCCTGGAGAATAAATTCTGACTCTGTGTTAGGACAAAATGAAACAAGTTTTAAAGCAGAAGAGCAGGATGTTGAATTTGTTCCAGGCGACATTATTAAGATTAAAATTGTACAAAACATTCGAATGCTCATGGATGCGAAAAATGTGCCATTAGCCTTCCTTGAATACTTGAGGCTGACAGCCGATCTTAGTCTAGTTGATGATGATTTAGATTATATTATAACATATAATTCTGACCAGAATGTCTCAGCATATTCAACTACGTTAAAAAAAGCATCGAAGGACGAAATTGAAAAACACTCAATGATCAAGAACAAGGTAAAACAAATTGAAGTGGGCGATGAAGTTTATCTTGATGTTGGTCCGCCAAACTACGTGGCCGCTGAACTCAGGGAGGTTGACGCAAGTGATGAGGTTATCAGAGCTATGACACGATCCGCAAACCTAATTGGATTTTCAGATGATGGCCGCGCTGTTATAGAGTATAAAGATGGAAGTCGGTACAAAATAAAAAAGAAATTCTTGACAATTCCTGAAAGATTCAGTATCAGCGAGACTGACGAAGGATTTGACTATGACGTCGCTAAAGATATTCAAGAAACAGTAGCAAATTGTGTTCAGATCATTCACGCAGACGATCGTGGGGGAGCGGAAGATCAAGCTACCATTGTCAAGATTTTAGCTATGACATACGGATCTCCTTCCGTTATAGACTTGCGGATTATTTCAATGGCTGCAACAACTGAAAAAATTTGCGAATATCTCATACAAATGAGCGACTGGAATGTCGAATTCGTGTGCAGTGGAACATTTTACATTACAAAGCTCAAAGCTTCTATCCAGGAAGTAAAAGTTGGTTTGTATTTCAACGACGATGACTATCCGCCACATATATGCAGATCTGAGAAGAAGCATTGGAAGGAGGAACAATCTGCCACTAGAAAAGAAAGCTTGCTTGTCGAGGAGGGGGTCGCAGCACCAGCCGCAGCGTTTCCTATTGGAAATGCAGATGCCCCACGCTTACAACATGGTATGCCACAACCAGAAGGTGTGAGAATTGATGAGTTTCGTTACGTGTGCCTATTTGATCCTTCATTATCTCGAAACGTCTATTTTCCTTATGTAATTCGAGGTGAACACCGTACACCCCTTGAAAACAATGATGAACATGACGGAGGAATCAGAACACCAAATATTATGAACATCTACAATATCAACAAAGTTAATAGAATCACAAATTGAATAGTTGATAATTACTGATAATCATAATCAACAAGACAAAACATATTCATCATATACCAATCAGTATTACAAAGATAATTTTGTGACCTTCCTATGATTGTTTGTCAAATTCAATAGTTTCATACATTTACAAAACTACTTTTTAGCTGCTTTGTACATAGTGATGTCGATAAAACTCTTGATTTATCGTGTGCGAAAACAAATCGTAAACTATTAAAAAAATGAAAGTCAATAAATTATATTACTATAACTTTTATGTTACTGAGTAGGCCTACAAAATTTGTGAACTTTGTATAAAATTGGTACTGTTTTTAAACTTACTTTCGCGTCTCTATTTAATTTCTTCAAGCGCCAAGATTATCGAGTTAGATGAATTATGCTTCTAAGTTTTTGAAATCCTCATTGTGAAATTGCAATTATTTCAAACTCGCGTGATTCGTGTTTTTTCTTTTTAATTATTTCATTACATAGTGTTATAGATTAAATTTCATAGATTTCATTGTTCATATCCGTAAGAATTTATTTTCAAGTTTTCACATATACATAAGGATTAAAGTTATATGTTTATATGAATATTACAAACAATATTATATTATATTGACCGTTTAATCAACTTACTGAAATATACTCTTTTCACAGCAATTGGATGAACGTTGTTATTGTTTATTTGAACAACATAATAATGTTGAAGTGGATTTACGTTCAAACTTAGTTTTTTCGCAAACGTTGTTATTCTCTCTACGTGGCAATAAGGCAAGATAGCTATCAGTCTAGAGTTGGAATTTGGGGAAAAGTTACAAAGCAAAATTTCATAGTTATTGTTATGAATTTTGCTTCCCACACAATAAACACCAACATGAACGGGTTGAGAGCTCGGCCAGTGGCAGAAAATTCTTCATGGCAAAGAATTTTTGGAAAATAGTTATGTTTCATATAACTGCAATATCGTATTCCATGCACGCGAATGTAAAAATATTGATACTAGGTAAGAAATACGACTTTTTTCTCGACCTTTGTTTATGGACTTGTACGGTGACTTAATCGTCCTCGCATAATTGTTCGTCACTGGATTCGAACTCGCGAAACAACGTAGGTTCAACGATGAGATGGCAAGTTGCTGAGACCACTGAATTGTCAATATTTGCAAATACTATTTTGAGTTATGGCGGCCCGTTAGGCTTTGGTAAGTACCGATTGACGCCAGACTTGAGACAGTTCAAGTCAATACCAGGGGCGTATCCAGGGGGTGGTTTTGGGGCTCGAGACCCCCCTATTTTGAATTGTAAAAAAATAAAAGGATCTTTATGTATCATACATAGCAATTTTTAGATTGAAACGCTTTCTAGACCCTCAAGAATCACGAAAACACACTTTTTTACGTTTGTTCAGACCCGCTAGCTCCCCCTCCCCCATCCCTCGAAAATTTCTGGCTACGCCCCTTGCCAAAAGGAAAGAACTATAAGAAATTTGGAATTAAACTCATTGCTCAAACTCATCTTGAAACACCTAGTCCATAGGTTCTAGCGATGTAATAACTATTTCTCAATTTAAAGAGTGTGGTGTGGCGTCCGACGCGGATGCTGAATTTTTATATTCATCTTGGATCTTTTGTAGAAAGTTCCCTCTAAAAAAACGCCAACGCTCAGAAAAAAATGAACATATATATATCAAGTTATACTAAGGGACCCTTTTAGGGATAAATTCGGTATTTCAAGTAAAATTTATAAAAAGACTGAAAATTGCTTATTTCGAAATTCTCCAAATTCATAAATTAGATCGATAAAGGGCCCGTTGTAATTATACAACAGATGCCAACCCAAAATATAATTGGATCGATGACACCAGATGCTAATTAGTATTCCAACCCGAATCGATAAACCTACTGGAATCGATATCACCATACGCGCATACGTATATAAGGTTTCAATTGGATATTTGGGAGAGGTATTAAAAGGTCTTGTATTAGGAGTCAAGTCGTATGGATCGGTATCGTGTCGTCATCGTTTGTGCTCTGTGTATATCTACAATATTAATCTACTTCAAAAACGTTCAACGTGTACTTCATTGGCTAAAATGGTGACCCCGACGAGATTTGAACACGCAACCTTCTGATCTAAAGGGCGTAGATATATTTAGGGATAAATTCGTTATTTGAAGTAAAATTTATAAAAAGACTGGAAATTGCTTATTTCGAAATTCTCCAAATTCATAAATTAGATCGATAAAGGGCCCGTTGTAATTATACAACAGATGCCAACCCAAAATATAATTGGATCGATGACACCAGATGCTAATTAGTATTCCAACCCGAATCGATAAACCTAATGAAATCGATATCACCATACGCGCATACGTATATAAGGTTTCAATTGGATATTTGGGAGAGGTATTAAAAAGTCTTGTATTAGGAGTCAAGTCGTCTGGATCGGTGTCGTGTCGTCATGTCTTCATCGTTTGTCTTCATCACATCACTTCATCACATTCCGTGAGGCCCGCAAAACAATTTTATAGTGCACTGATTCATTGGCAGATTTTTGTCTTTACTGGCAGAACATTTTTGAGTCATTTTCAAACTATTCTAACTGGGAATAGCCCTTTTCATAATCCTAGGGTTACCATATTTTTGTGACTTCAAAGCGGGACGCCTCCAAAGACAACGATCCCTTAGCAGTGATTTTGTGAGTTTACATTTTTGGATTTTACTACATATGCCTACATTTAAAGCCATCCCGGCTGTCTTCATTGACCATATTGCTATCGATAGTTCTTGCGCATATTCTCTGTCCAAATATCGGGTTCAGTTTGAAAAATAGAGAGGAATTGATGTTTATGATACAAATAATTCGAATTTAGATTATTTCATGCACAGCAAAAGGAGGAAAGATAGCCTGCCGTTTTCAAGCATTGAGAATTTACTTATTCGCCCAAGCATGCTTTTCTGTAGATAACGCCTTCGTCAAAAAAACGTTGTTCAATGTTACATTCACGTAAACGTCAGAACAGGACCAATTACTATTGATTTTACATGTTATACGTTACGGGAAACAACGAAACAAACGAAAGAACGCATTTACCTCCAGCAAGTGGGCTAGCGCTGCGCTGCACAGCAACAACAGTAACAAAAACATGTTAATTGGTATTGTTCGTGTATTATGGTGGATAGCCGAACGCCAAAGCGGGACTTTTGGCTGACTTGTCTGGACAACACGCTAAAAAGCGGGACGTATGGTAAGCCTACCTAATCATGATGTCGGGATTCGTGTTTCTTAAAATCACTTAATTTCAATGTTGTATCTATAAACGTCAAGACGGTGCCAATGACGTCATTTGATCGGTACAAGGAGAATGGATTGTCTTGTGCATACAGGACCAAGCCGATAAAAGATGGGTCGCGCTTTTTAAGCTCGCGTCAAGTAACTCTTCATTTGGAGAGACGTTTTGTGCCTTTATTTTAGTAAAAACACTCCTCTATTTTCAAGCTTTGGCCATGTGACAATAGTGACAAACCGCAGAGCTGACTTAGCGCCACGCAATCCAGTTTGTTTAGCTGACTCCGCAGTCCCAACTCAGACGGACTCGGTTGTTCTTTGACGATACCACCAGTAGTAAACATGCGATGTTTTGATCTATTTTGGGTTTTCTCCGACTGCGGCCCGCGAGACATCCTCAAAATATTTTGCAGCCTGCCAACCTCCAACCTTGGACCACCCTGATATATAATTATATTATTATTACCTTACAGCAAATATCAATAAGCATATATTTAGGTCGAAAAATCAAGCAAAACTCTGAGCACCGATTTCTGCCACAACAGTGTAGTCGCCGCACGCACAATCGCATTGATTTGATTCGTGTGTGGCAGACGGGAAGGAACTTCACCAAGTAGGCGTTCAGAACCGTCTTTTCTGCCTTTGTCAGTCTGGCTATATGTTGTGGTTGTTGTCTGTGGTGACCCGTGATATATTTTATTGGTAATCAAACATTTATGAATTATCTAGCATACAGAAAAGAGGACTGAAAAATCTACATAATGGAAAAAAGTAAGCAAGCTTATATTGGTTTATTTTTTCATTTCAATTTATAACAGAACTCAAGCATGTAATATAGGTTGGATATTACAGTAATCATTTTTTCCCATTGACATAACTAAGGCATCCGACGGGAGTACAAGTGAAAAGACTTAAAAAAAAATTCACGCACTTTGGTTGTTGTCTACTATTTCCACTAAGAAGGATTACTTAATTAATAGAGAAAGTTAACACATACATCGACAAAGTATTTCTCTATTTTTTGGTACGGACATTCGGCATTATCAATTTTATTGTATGTATTTCGTGTTTTCAATTGTGTCTCTCGGCTCGAGTCTGTTTTCTGAAGACCATATCAGTTAAAGATTTGGTTTCAGATGTAAGCAATTTTAAACGCCGTTTATGGATGCATGTCATAACATCAACCGAAGGAATAAAGCTAGCGCAAAATACGAGTCGTGAGAGTGTCGAAGTCACAAACGCAATCGAAACTGTAGTATCGGTTCGATCGCGCTTATTGCGCACCACCGCTCTTCAGACAGCTTTCTAAATATTCGATGAGTTCAGCGCATTAAACTTCCAAGCATGAATCGACGTCAGCATATACAGATTTCAGGGCGGGTGGCGTGTGTTCAGGCCACTTTGATCCAGGCACCACATATGTCCATGTATGCGTCGTTGGTACATATTTCACTGTTGTTGTCGAGGCATATCGATATAATGCAGCTTTATAATACAAAAACTATCGAAATTTAGTAACATGTGTATTGTATCAGCACAATGCTTCAGAATAGTTTTAACAATAAAATAGTATTACCTTCACAAATATGATCATATTTGAATATATATTATTCTTATTATTGAAAGCATCATTTATTTCGTATCTCTGCATGTTGGTTACACTAGCATACTCAGCAATTCAATGAAGTGTCTGTTTTCTATTGCAACCCACATATACCACCTTCAAATAAATACATTTATTTTTACCTACGAGACAAATCTGGCCGGGTCCAAAATTACGACCTTTCGAGCACGAACCAACTATGCCCTACTACACCTTAATGCGATCCATCCGAGGCACGTAATCGACGACGCATCTTTGCCAGTCAAATCGCAGAGAATGATAAATATTGACACGATTGATTTTAATGTATCGTTTTTAATGAAACTTATTTAATGCTGCATATTTCATAAAAATATCGGAAGAATATTTAATTTGTGATAAAATGCGAGACAAACATATTTCATCGAGTATGTATGACCTATCAATCCATGTTTCAAAATTTCTCTTAATTATTATTCTATTTGCAGCTCAGAAGTTGGTAAACCTATTAGAATTGGGCTATGGAAATGCTGGATGCCTTGTCTAAAGTATTGTGCCAACCAGCGATCAAAGACAAACCACTCGCAGTCGTTGGTATCGCAGGTGCACTTAGAACCGGAAAATCTTTTCTGATGTCAATTTTGATGAGATATCTTAAAAATAAAGTAGTAAGTTTTTCAATTAAAGTATAATAGCGTTGGAAGTTCTTAAGTTAGAATATATTTGGTCGAAACTGAATGAAAATAATTAAATGAAAATCGAGACCATCGAGACAGCGAAATGTATTGCCGTATTAATAATATCCGGTGTTAAAAAGTCCGACGTAGTATGTATCGATTTTCAAGAAAAAAACGTACGCCCAGTAGCATCTAAATTTCATTATAATATTCAGTATATTATATTTATATGGCCGAACCACGAACGCGGTGTATCCAAGCGTGTTCAAAGAACGGCCGATTATCAGGCGATGTTGGAATATGTTCCTTCGTCATATTATTCTACTTTTTCGATTTTTTAGTGGAAGAATTCGGCTTGGATAGGAGACAATGACAAATGTGCAGATGATGGTATTGAATGGAGAAAAGTTACTAAAGCTCACACCAGGGGAATTGTTATATGGAACGAAATTTTTACCATAGAGCGAAATGGCGAAGAGGTTGGATTTTGTATTTGAGTCCATTTTCTCATAAATAATCAACAAGTCTATCATATTTCATTAATATAGTATTCTTTTAAATTGTGTCCTAATGTATTTTTTTTTCTTCTGTTTTTTGTTGTCTTTTTAAATTTATTTTCTATAACGCACATTGATTTTGGCGTGATAGAAGAAAATGTCTGCATATTAATCTATAGTAATATAATAGATATAAATGAAAATGCAGTACCTCCATTATTTTTCTTCAAAGTACTACTCACTTTCTGTTTTATATAGCTAATTAGATACTTTGAGTTAAAAATGTTTGGGTTTTATATCTAAATATGATTAGTAAATGAAGATATCTCGAAATGATAAAACTCAGATATGAATACTTCATTTTGTTTTCAGATTTCGATATTGCTGTTGGACACGCAGGGTCTTTTTGATAACACCATGTCAAAAGAAGCAAATATGAAAATATTTACATTTACAGTTTTGATGACATCACATCTCATGCTGAATATCAAGTCCCAAATAGATGAACGAGAATTAGAATCCTTGGAGGTTTTTTTATTTCTTATTTAAAACATTTCCGGGAAATAAAGATCTAGAATGGGATCAGAAATAGGATTATCCTCTCAATCTTGAGTAAGGACGTGCCAATAAAACTATTGATGATATGATGATCTACATTTTTTGCTTGGTTACCAGGAATAATACCTGGAATAAATGATATTTTTAATATTCTGGATGTGTGAACTCTTATTGTAGAATAATACATTTGATCTCAACACTGTGTATGATGCTTCAAGTGATTAAAGAGGTTTAAAAGATTAAATGTTTTATAATCAGACTTGAGACTAATTGAATACAACTAATATCTTAGTCTTTATCTATTATATAGGTTCATCTCAAAATTAAACTTGAACTTGAATTGAATTCGAAATGGCTTGTCTCAAATATTGACACATGTAGGTACAGATAATACAAACCATCTGGATAATGTTAATGTAGCATAACTCTGCACTCATGGGTATATACTTTATCTCTGTCATAATAACAACTGCAATAAATTATTGTAATTTATTATGACAGAGAATTGGTTTTTAATGATTTCTTTCAAAGTTCTATTTTTTGCATTTCTAAAATACCAATGTTTATTATACTACCAAATTTCAGTTTTTCACTGAATATGCTAAAAGTGCATCTGTTGAACCAGGAAGTGAATGTCCTTTTCAGGTGAGATATTTAACTGACAGTTGTTGCTCTCACTTCCGTTATTTTCATAAGAAATCATGAAGCAAACTCTTTGCTTATCATTTATTATAGTGGCGATACTTTGTTTCCATCTATATCTGATTACTAGCTATAGATAGCAAGTGGGTGTTTAATATATCATGGCATATTTATAGAAAAATAATTCTGACTCAATTTGACTTTGACTTTTGGTAGTAATGAATGGTTTAATCGGAATTAGCATCGATTTGCAATTTCATCCTATGCTCTTGTATTTTGCTTTGACGAAAGCCAATTGATATATAAAGAGCTACTAGGTTATACTCTATCTTGGTATAGTAGTGACATGGTGCTTAAACACTGATGTTTAATCTTAATTTGCAATTCATAATTTTTCGACTTCATTTTAGAATCTTTTATTTTTGATCCGAGATTGGCAAAATTCATTTGAATATGGCTATGGAGAGAAAGGAGGACAAGAGTATCTCAAAGTGAAACTAGAAGAAAACGTCCCCATAGCTGCGTTGAATAGCGTCAGGCAAAATTTAAAATCTACATTCCAGGACTTGAAATGTTTTTTGATGCCATCCCCTGGCTCATGTGTCCTCAATTCAGAATTTAATGGCAGAAATAAAGATGAGTCATCGATAAGAGTAAGTGAATAGTTCGTCTATTGTTTGTTATTACATTTTTATTTGATATTTATAGATCCATATTTTGAAATGAAACAATGTTTCAACTGAAGGGTATTTGTGTCACTCGAATTACCTCGAATGTGTACACATAATAATTAGTCAGTTGTGTCTCAACAGGTATACTACTATAAGGGTTGCAATTACCTTACAGCTTACAATAGAAGCTGGAATTCTGTAGGTAAAAACATTTAGTCATTATATCCACCAATACCCAATCATTCAATTGCCTCAACTGTAATAAATTTGAAAAGTGGTCTTTTTATAATCAATTGGCAGTGAACTCTGCAAGCTTGACCTCCATCCAATTATCATGCGAAGAAGTACAAATTAAAACTCATGAGTGATACGAAAAAAAGTTTTCCTCCTGACTTTATCATGTCAATCTAATATTTTCACAACATGTTGTTGTTGTCGCTTGCTGTACCAAATATTATGTATGATTATATATCTCGTTTCGATTTTGATATTACAATGCATGCTTGCAATTCAGTGTTTCTATTTTTGTCTACTAGGCGCATTTGCGCAATTTCAGACGTTTTGTGTAAACCATGAGGTCTGGAATGTTTGTTATGGTCTTGTTTGGAAGAATAGCTCATTTCCTACCCAGCAATATAAGAATGAACGTTATATGACATTTGGAAGTAATAAAATATCGCTTACATTTCACGCGTGTACTTCCCTCTGCGATAGAAAAACGTCGCACAACGAGAAAATAATTCAATAAACCTTGGCGTTGCGCTAACCAATAACAAAAGCTAGTATGATAAGGGCTTATTTTGAAGGTCATTTTATATGCTACATAACATAGGAGAGTGGCCATCTCACAACGTCGGGAAGTTATAAAAATATCGAGTCGTTTGATCGCTTCTGCCTCACCAACCTCCAAGAAATTGTTATATAAACCAGTAGTTCCCAAACGTTTTTGTACCATCGCCCCTCTACAGTAATTTAAACAACTGCATCTTTCCCGGCACAACAGGAAAATGTAAAGTCAGAAACGAATATACTACAGACCAAATAAACAAGAAGACAAATCGTAGTTCATAGTGTTTTTTAAAGAGATGGACTGATGGATGAGCTTGGTGGTTTTCAGCGAGTTTTTTAATATTTGATGACATTTTCGTCAGGCACAATCTCAAATCACCCCGTTTACTGATGAAAATGCGATTTCGGTGTTTAGATAGCAATAGTGTTACGACTGAAAACCCTTTTCCACCATATAAGAGGTCGGAAATGAAAGAATCCAAGGGTACCTCATCAAAAGTCGCCGGGTACTTGTCTGATTACCTGCACCAAAATACATCATATGGATCGATTCCTCATCATGTACAACGGCCTCCGGTCCGGATACCAGTCCATTTATTTGTTGCAGATTCATAGACTTGATAGTGGGAAAAAAAGTAACCGACCCGCGGTTACGCCGGGGTCGCCAACCTTTCGTCACTCGCGGGCTAAAATTAGGAGCTGCAAGTCTTGGGGGGCGCACATGTTTTTCGAAAGTTAAAAACGGAACAGCACGCCAATACTGCGACAATTCGTGAGCTCAACTTAGTCGTCTTATTAAAAGAAAAAAATTACAAATGATATTTAATGTGACACTGCCTTGTTGCTGCATCACGCTTGACAGCTTTTCGACATCGGTGGCACACTGAATGAAGCCAAGATTAGAATATATTTTGAATTGGCATCACTAAACCTAGTTCTCTGCTTGTTCTTTGAAATGTTCATTTTTGAAAATATTTGTTTGCACAAATATATATGTACTTCCAAACATCGGAGTGAATTTTTTCGCGCCGTTTATCAAATTTTGATAAAGATTTTCCTTCAGAAGATACATTTTTATAAAAACCAAGCATTGATGCATCATCTTTCGAATAGAATATGAATTTTATTCTCTCATTGCATTGCATCTCAAGTAGCTCCATTTGAATATTTACTGAGCCATTGAATTCCTGCATTCAGCATCAACTTTTATGCGTGTTGCCATTTGTCTAATTATAATTAAAATGTAGACTCGTTAAACGAGTAGCTCCAAATTGCTAGGTTATAATATAATCTAGTCCAAACATGTCTCACGATAAATTCTGTTACCTAAAAAATATAATCTACTCCTCGAGCGTAGAATATGAAAATTAAAACATTGTCAAAACCGCCGATTTGTCGCTATAATTCAGTGAAGCATCGCGGGCCGGGCCCTACGCGAACTATCTTACGGCGGGGAGGAGTCCAGCAATCCGCGTGTTATTATCGCCCACTTTCGGAACCACCGATATAAACCATACAAAGATATACTTATAACAATGTATTCATAATTCAACCCCATTGTTTCAACTGATGACTATAAGCCAAGCTATTTGTACAATACAATTTGATTATATGGAATTTTTAATGTATGCTAAGTAAAAAATAATATTTTCTATTTTGTACCATCAACATGTTGACGTTGGCATTTTGATATTTATCTGAAAACAAATTAAAGTGCGAAATTTCAATATTCAGATCCTATACAACTGAATTTGTTTTGCTAATCTGTGTAGGGTCTACCTAAATTCTCATTGGCTGCATTATTATTTCTTAAATTATCTTAAAAAAATGAACATTTTTGTCTTCACAGGCCTTTGCTAATATGAGGAATAGAATTGCTGTAACAGAAGCCCTATGCAAATTTGACGAAACATACAAGGAAGTAAGATATACTATATTCTTATACTCACTCACTCTACTTCACTCAAATTTATGGATAAGATTTAAATATCGTCAGGCTAATAACCGAATTGCGTAAGTCATTTTTAGGCGATTTTGAGTTTTTTTTTTGGAAATAGGTATTCATGTAATGATGCTGCGCACCTGTCTGTTAACTCAGATTTTATTTTAAGAATTCCGAAACCCATAAAAATGGAGATTTTGTATGACATGCACATTTGTGCGAGTATTTCGTCATAATGAATTATCATTGTTGCTGCATGACTATTGTGACGTCATACGTCACAAAGACAAAACGAGAATATCGGTCAGAGACCGAAGACTTATTGATCGAAAGTTAGGGTATCCCCCAAAACAGCGCTCTTACTCCATAGTGACACCTTGTGTCCAATCACTAATTAATTAATAACTCGCTAATTATACGACATGTTTCGCCCAGAATCAATAGGCTTCTGGTCCGAGATAAGATGAACGCACATGCAAAATCTGGAGCAGATTTAATCTCGCTTTCGTGAGATATCGCGTGCATCTAATAGACAAACAGACATACAGACAGACAGACAAATACCTATCAACATACTTACCGATCAAAATCGATATGTAATAACCTCGGCGAAGGATTTTCAAGAATTTGCATTTCAGATTCTAGTTTAGCTCTTATGAATTTGAATTTATATCACAGTATAGAAAGGCGTGCACTTGTGATATTCACTGTCCGAGTCCAATTCACATTGGTTGGCTTTTTTATTGGGTGCATTGCTGTTTTATTCTTTATATTTAATCTTAGTCTTATTTCGGTGGGTGTGCAGAGCGTGTTATAATGATGAAATATATATTTTTAATAATAAAAAATAATGTAATTGAAACAGATTATCTATTTTGGGGATTAGACATCGTAAATACTGAGAATTACATTCGTTTTTGGAATGTTTGGTTTTCAGGACTGGTGCATATAGTCAAGTTGCAAAATTGCGTATGTCCCCAAGTCATAGACACATTTTTGCCTAAGTCACAGTGCGCCATTATGACGTCACATAACTGCGTTATATAAATTAACTCGAATCCGGCTACGATTAAAAAATTGAACCATGGCAAATTATTGACTCTCAATGGCAAACCAATATCATCAGGAAGTTTTTTACGTGTTTCTTAAAACTGCTTAAAATGACTTGCGCAATTCGGTTATTAGCGAGACGATATGCAACTTATAATTCTATATTCATTACGTCAATTGATCCAGGTAAATGAACCAAGATGTTAGATTCTGTCAATTGGTATAAACAAAATTGATTAGGTTTCCATGAATTGAATTATTATTTCATTCTTATAGATCTATACGAATTAATGAAGGATTCGAATAAATTATGCCTAAATGCGATGATGGTATATTTAAATAAAGTATCACCATCAACCGAGTGTTTAGCTAGCATCGTGTATTATTAGTACGTTTTCATGAATCTTACATCAACACAGTCGAAAATTGGTATTATCGCTGTCAATTATACTTAAAGGAAGAATCCAAGCATGCTAAAAAGTTGGAAAGAAATCGTGATGAGTTTTATGAAAAATCTCTATTTGCGGCAAAACAACATTTTGAAGATCAAAGTAGATTTGGTGGAGAAGATCTAAGAATTCAATATCAGAAAATGTTAATATCGGAATGTCAGGACCGGTTTCGTATATATGCGAACTGGGATGATTTGAGAAAGGTTTGAACAAATCGTATGCATTTTTATGAATTTTGTTTTCAAATTTTGCAATAAGATGTTACACACACTCTTTATTAGTAAAGATAATTCAACTTTTGAGCAAATTCATTTGATCTATAGTTTCAAGTTTTATTGACCATCATCTTTTCCATATAGATATATACATTGTTGCACGTTGATTTTTATAAGATATTACCTAAACTGGTTACTTTGGCTACTTTTGATTTTCAATATGTGGTTATTCCCGAATCATATATGCCAGAATATGAAGCACAATATTTGGTGAAATGATTTATATTCTAGTATTGCAGTATATATATATAGAAAAAATCATTCAAAAAATGAGTGCGAATTTAATCATGCCGTAACACGAGAAATAATATTAAAAAGCATATAAATTTTCCTGTAACAAAAACGCCTTGATGAATTGAAATAAAGCAAAGTTAGCTATATTTAAAGAATAAGGGTCATCACTCATCAGTTCTGAAACCATGATTGTATTTAACTATTAACTAGATTTTTGTCATTCATATGGCAACAGAAGTGTGTTTTGTATACATTGTAAACAGATGAATTGTGACACTATTCGTTATAATTTATCGTCCAGACCAAAGCACAAAATTTTTCATTACAACGGAGTCCTGAGATTTGGACTAGATATCGGGAAAACATGAAAAAGGTGAGCAATATAATTATCAAATGGAAACATATTTTGAAAAAACTGTAAAAATAGCATATACGAACAATATACGAGAATTTTAATCTTGATTCCTATAACATAAATTCTTTCTTTTATCAGTTTTTGAAGCATGCATTCATCATTTGTTTGTGTGGTGCAGTTTTGCCTGCACCTGCCTGTTATGACGGCTTGTTTGGAAATATGAACCAATTAGCGATACTGCAACGTGATGGCCAAACTATATCTTAATGTAGTGGCATTGGGTCATATGATGGAAAGGAATTTTAATGCATAGTACTTATCCGACGATGTGTACGGATGTTCCACTCATTGAATCAGTCAGGGGGTGGTGTCGGGTCGAAATAAATAAACATGTATTAAAACAAGATATCATCACACATTTTTGAGTCCCCGGATTGCCGTGGTATTTTTGAGTAGGTAGATATACATTTATTTTGTCGACGTTGAAAACGGCTCTTTTGACTAGTGGTGTCTCGCGCCAACTGTTTCAGATGCCTTTCTGTGAAAATTTGTTGGTGGTGGTGGTATTTATTATGTATTTTTGACATACTGATACTCTTTATGTGTAATTTTATTGTACAAAATTTTATTATCTGGGATTTATAGCGGATCTTGGGATTTTTCTAACGACGATAACGATTTTGCAAGATCGCAGAAATATGTGTCTCAAAACGGAATATAATCGGGCAGTCTATCTCGCATGATTATGTCTGCAGATTAACTTACTATTTTGAATTAGTAATGCTTTTATTCTGTTGTTGGTTTACGCAACCTTAAGTTGAATAATTAAATTAAAGTAGATAGACATTATTGTAGTTGTCATGTATTAAATATTATGCGGCAGAATAAATCATTTCACGCTAAAAAAAAGTTGGTTTTCTTAACGAACGTGTAATCGCAGCGACCGCTTCAAAAGTCGTTGCATCTGAATTTCCGATTTTGAACCACCTTTTTTGCTGACTGCTCCCCTGGTTACACTGTTTCATAGGTTGCATAGATATAACTTGAAGAATTAACCTTCCTGATTTATTATTATGGTATGGATTTTGCTGAGAGATGAGATAAGTGCTGGCAAATGTGTACCTAGTAATTAATCTTGTTTGCACATGTTGGTATGGACATGTACAGTAAAACTTATAATGTTTCTTCCAGGACCTTGGTACTGGTTTTAATGAGCCTGATGTTTTTAAAAAACATCATAAAAAGAATCAAATAGCTTTGTTGGAGGCTTACAGAAGTGAGACTGCAAAATGTGCATCCTTCAATAAAGAACATGAATTGCTACTGATAGAGGACATTGAACACTCTAAAAAGAAGTTTGAACAACTGAATGGTGATTTAGGTTTCATTATGGCTTTAGGGAGTCAAGTTCCATCCAGTCGTCAATCGGAAGATATGTCAACTGAAGTGGGTATTGCTGAAACTATCATAATAGTTTTCTTTTCAAAACGTTTTCTTCGTTACACTTTTATTATTTTCATTTTAATTACCTTTTCATCGCTTCAATCACTCACACATCTCACTCACATCTCTGTCAGAACTTTTTCCCTTTTTAAGATAACCTTGCTTTGTATCAACAACTAGGTATTCAATTAAATAATATTCAATCACTATGAATTTCTATGAACAAACTGATTGCGTTGCTGTGTGGTGCACTGTCATAAGCCTATTGCCATGCTTAACTGTCTTTATGATATGAAATGGTTCCCGGAAACCGAACAATTTGTAATCGTTTACTATCTGAGTAGTAGGAAATAGAAACCAGAGTCTTCCAGACTAGCTTGAAATTGTGAAAAAATGGACTGATTACTTATTTTTACTTCTGATTTTATTTTCTGGACAGGAACAACAAGATCTTGTCAGACAATATTTTGTTTCATCAATTATCTCTCCAATACAAAGAGGAATTTGAAAAAGTTTGTATTGAATATTTTGTACAAGTTATGACTTTATAAAAGATTTATCAGGTCAAAAATTGTTAGTTCATTGTTATGAGTCATTGAAATTACTTTGTCAGTGCCATGCTGATCACATTGTGGTAGTTTATTGAGTGGTTAAGTTGAGAGATGGGTAAGTGTAAAAAAAAATGCTGTACTCACCATAGTGAATATGACCACTGATTACCTGGTGACTGGTACGATAAAGCTTTATTATCACATCTAATAAAAATACTGATACTCTACTATTTAAATATATTAATTTTCATCATGGCGTAACGCCTCAATTTTATTTCACCTCTATCCCTACCTTCCCTTGTTTGTTTGTTTGTTTCTTTCTCTAAAAATGCAAAAAATATTTATGAACGACCGGGTTGGATTCAGGTGAATGCATCGTAATTACGTCAATTTCACGGCTTAATATCTGAAGAATTCGCTGTCATTTTTTAGTTCTCTGCCCTGTATGTTGCCGAAGATGATTTAAAGAAACAACTGAATGAGATGAAAAAATCATATTATGAGTTGTTCGAATGTAGGTGGCCCAGACATGGGGCAAACATTGAAACTTACAGAGATAGATTTTTGAAGTTACTGGATGAAGAATATCAAGATTGCTTAGATTTGAACACACGGAACAAGGTCCATGGTGCATATTAAATTTATATTTATGACATATCCAAATTACACGTGGAGAAAGTACTGAAAAGAGTCAAATGATATATACTGCTAACTTCTATCCAGTTGAGAGTCAGGCTCATGTAGGGGACCTATTTTTCATCTTATCAAATAGATAACTAAGATTAAAAAAAATACCTTGTGATGTATTACTTTTACTTTAAATTATCCTTACCATGTTATTTTTATCTTTATAGAATACAAAATTCATGAACTGAAATACTATTTTTGTAACTAATTCATGTTTACTTTGATTTCTTGTTTTATTAGAATGTTTTTGATAATGTAATACAGGAATCAAAAACAAAAATGAAAGCACAATATTGTGAAACAATGAATGGGGTAAGTGCCTCATGATTTAGGACTATTAATTTATATAGCCATGGGTATCTCTGTCTCTGCAAATCATATTCTATTAGTTCTGAAATGTTATTTGATATAAGAGATAAATCACATTTTTTCTGTCCCTGTCAATAGTATTTATTGTATTTGAGTGCATTTTTGGCAATATTCTATCAAATCGTTCCCAATAACAGTCATTTATCTTGTGTCTGTGTTATATTCACCATCATCCTGGAATCATTTTTCACAGATACTTCATGAGGGTTATTGTGACCCCCAACATCTTCAGAATATGCATGAAAAAACAATACAAAAGCTGGAAGGAAACTTAAAGGAAGAATTACAAGGAATAGATAGTGGAGCTCTGGCCGATGTGCTGCGTCAATGCCAAGAGGAAATACGCAAAGAGTTTGAGGTGTTCACAAAAAGAAACCAAAAGCATGCCCAGCAGAAACCCAAATTAGACAGGAGCACCATTGAGGAAAAAATCAATATGGCACTGAAAATTGTTGTCGCCGCATTGCCGATCATAAGGAAGCTTTGTGCAGTCATAAACACAGTGAAAAAAGCTCTGCCTGCCACAGCTGGACTCTCGGCATCAATGGGAGGACTGACAATATCGTTACCTTCTCTAGCAATAGGGGCTTCTGTTGTTGCTGTAGGTGCTCTCACTGCTTATTGTGTGTATAAATATTATTACAGGGAAAAGCAATCGATGGAGCAATAGATGAACTTAATATGACAGATGGACTGGCAGATTTTATCAAGATTATAAAATGAGTGGATAAACTTAGTTTTGTGTAATCTAAAATTAAACAAGCTAACCGGTGATCCTAGCTAAGCAAAAAAATTAATATGATAAGGTTAAAGATTGCAACTCATGCCATCTTCGCTGAGCTCGATTTATATATACCGACTCAACTATAATTGGATATAGGATTTCTATTGCGTAATATACACGAACTTAAGCAACTCATTTTGCTGAACAATATCAATATATATTTACACAGAAAAAATTGTCTTCTTCCTTGGGCCATTTTAGTTCACTCGTTATTTTGTGTTTAGTATTTTAAAATGTATTCATTTTAAGCAATAATGTTCAAGTTCAAAGTTTATTAAATGAATAGGATTTTAATGTTAATCCGGAGTAGAGGAAAGACTGTATCAACTAGATAGCTGGACGAACGACGCGTTGTCTCTAAATCTGTTATCCAATATCCATACCAAGACGAGTTTAGTTTAAATTAAATCATTTTTTTGCTCGTCGTGGCATGTAGTAGTCGCCATATTGTCGGATTCGAATTTCTTAAGTTGATAGTAAGATTAAAAATTGGAGAATGATAATATTCCTAGTAGTAAAAAAAGCTGAAAAACCCGTAAGTAAACTGGTAATCAAATTGCCGTTGAATTAAACTGTGCTGTTCTTATTAGCCCAATCATACTTTCTGCGTAGATCAAATTAACATACATTAGCTGGAAACCCACAACAAAAATTAAATTCGGTTATCCATGGCCAATTTTATTGTTACTATAGTAATCATTCTGATTGTTTTGATGGTGACTGCGATAAAATGTAAGTTTTTTTTTTGTTTCGCGTGACAACTTTATGCTGGATTAGGATAGGATTTATATATTTATCTGAAGAAAGTGGAAAGCTTATGAGTCGGCTCATTCATAGCAAACACGCCTCTCGTCCGGTTACCAGTCCTTGCCGGGCAACGGGATTAGTTAGCCTGTTATTTGTTTTTCAGATGCATAGACTTGATGGTGGAGGAATAGGGTTTTGTTTTTATCAATTCTAAAAAAACATTGTGTTTTAAAACAAGGGCTTGTTTTAAATCAAATTTTTTCTGTATTTTTTATTGAAATACCCCTTGCATTCCTATTTGACTTTTATTTCTATTGCGTACATTTATCGCGACTTTCGTGTTTCCACAAAGCTCGTAAGATTTTAACTGGAATGTTTATCCGAGATATCAAAGAGACGTTTTGAGAAGGAAAATCATGAAAATTAGCTCACAAGCCTACTACAAAATCAATTAGAGGAATGGCAGCCTTCGGCAAAACGAGTGGGTTGCGATAATGAAGAATATGCTTATATCGACGGCGGATGAAACACGCTAGCCGGGCCTATGTTAATTGTAAGAGTCCTCTGATGCAAAGACGCCTTAACTAATCTGTTATAACGCCATGATGTGGATTTCGAGTTCATGTATTGACATTTTTCTCATAAAATGAAGGCATTATTACGGTAAATACTGTTCGCTTTATACTGTTTTATGCTTAGCAAGCTATGTTTTTAAGGTTGAAGTGATAGAGTTTTTCAAGATTATACAAACTCATTTATTCGATCGCATTTCAATTTTCGCAAGGGGGTTTCGTCGCAGTTCGTTTACGTAATAGTGTTACGTTATCGGTTGCGTCTTACTGTGCCAACCATTGAGCTACAGCTTGAATGGGTGCACAAGAAGAGCCTCTATCGATATTTATGGTGTTTTAAAGAATTTATTGGAAATAAGAAGCGCTTGGCAAGTTTTTACATCCATTTTACTTCAACCTATTTAATACAAAAAAATCAAATAGTACAGCCATTTTGAACAAAACAGGCAAAAAAAACTTGATTTGGAACAATTGTTTTAAAACAATTCTTTTCAAACAAATCCCTATGAGGGAAGCCGTAACTGCGTAACCGATCAGCGATTACGTGAACCAACCTACGGCGGCGAGTCCAGCAATCCTCTCGCACATAATTATCCCTGCGTGGGATTCGAACCCGAGAACCCACGAAGGGTAATCGTAGTTGAAGCGGCGAGCGCATTCCTAACGCATAGCACGATGCGCCACACCGCCGAGAGAACACTGAAATCGCATACGTTATTATCAATTAGAAGAATGGTTATGGTAGTCTGTGGCACTAGCCAACATAAAATTTGGTATTAATTGCCTCATGCTAACTTGGTCAAACTTGTGAGTATAACATAAATTGTACCGTTTTGTATAATTATATTTACACAGATTCGTATATTCGCTTGATGTACATCCCAACCTGGGTTGTCAGTATTAGGTAGGCTTACCATACGCCCCGTTTTAGACGGGACAGTCCCACTTTTCAACGTCTTGTCCCGGCGTCCCGACTGGTCAGCCAAAAGTGCCGCTTTGGCGTTCAGTCAGTCAGCATCACACACGAACATTACCAATTAGCATGTTATCGAATTCAGGGATGTAAGTTTCAGAATTTCGAATCGAGGCGATTCGAAGCAACATCGATTTGATGCAATCGCAGCAGGTTGTCTCATCGTCATCATTGACCAAAAACGTTTATTTTCCCGACGCTTATCAGAAGCGTTCCCAAGTCGTAACACTCCGGGGGTTGTGTAACGTTGTAAACGTACGTTGTTTACAGTTTTGTCGTACATTTTGCCACTGTATGCAGTGCATCGTGCACTGCCTTGTAACCAATCATTGTAGGCCCATTATTACCCTTTTTCCCTTTGCTTGTAGCGTAAATTAGGAATATTATCTGTTGTCTGGTTTATCGTTTTCCTTCCGGTCATTTTCGCATCACGTATTCGTCGTGTAAGAGCCGCAGATATTGGTCCGTATTGTGGACTGTTTATCCTTTATATATATATATTGTAATTGTATTAGCCACCCGGATCGGAAACCGTTTGGTAAGAAATTTGCCTTTCGTTGTTGTTATATTCTTTGTGACTTATGTTAATCAATTGTGTTTTATTCATTTAAGAAAACCGCTGTTTTTTGCCAAGTGTATAAGGAAAAAGGTGATTTATGCATGTGTCTTGTTTGTGGACAACGGGACTGAGAGTGGCGCGTTCGATACGTTTTCATTGTGTCTCGTCTATATAGATTCCGGGCTATCAAAAGACGTGACAGGTTGTTATATTTCATATGGGTCACAGCTTTAAAGGAACCAATGGTTTCGTTAAATGTTTTTAGACTATTTAAAATATTAAGAAGTTCTACAAAAATGTCATTATATAAACGTGTCTTAAAATAACCTATATAATGTCATTATAATAACAACAATATTCCTCATTGAAAACACAGATCTGCCATGCTTTCCTCGTTATCATTTGCTTTCTTCAAAATCACAGCGCAAGCGGTACTAACGCATATTTCACTGGCGTTTATCATTCGATATTGTTTGCGAACATAAATTTGTGTAATAAGTAAATATAATTGAGTATAACTCTATGTAACAAAAATAAATATTCTCTAATATATTATGTAGTTGAATTCCGTGTTTTCTTCTAACTTTATTCATTCTCCAAGTTAATTATTGTAATTTAATAACAATTCATGCTATAGTTCGTCCAAATTTAAAGAGAATTAACGATGATATGTTATACTAACTAGAGTCAGATTTGGAAACTGCTTGTAGATTCGGAAAGGACTTGTCTGAGGAAGTCTTGCTTTTGGTCAGACGGAACGTTACAGAAATATATTTGTGTTAGTGTGCAGCAGGACTCTTGAATTACATATTATAGTATTGAAAATGCCACAGCTATGGTCTTTGGAGGCGTCCCTCTTTGAGGTCACAAATATATGGTAACCCTAGTATTAGGTGAATGATTAATATAACATAAATGTTTTAGATAAACGTTATCGCATTTCCCCCGAACTTCCCTAAAGGTCGGTATAGGCGGGTCAAGGCCTACTATTTAAAAAAAAAATAGTGTTAAATTGGCGTTAAGCAAGACAGATAGCCCTTTTTTTACAAAATGAATAGATATGACTAGCAAAACTCATTAAAATCAAGGGTAGATTATTGGGAGTGATGTTGAAGAATTTTGGTCAATAAATTTATGCTAGCGAGGTCGGTCGCGGTAAGGCTTTTTAAAAAGTGTTTTAGTATTCTGGTAAATTAGTAAACAATTCCGATGACAACCACCAGACATTGCGAAAAAATTCAAAACTCTCTTATACTTGACGGCATGACGGTTCCAAGGACACTTGCTTATGTGTTTACTCATCTCTCATATATAGATACTGTATTGCAATTCTCGGTGCTCCTGAAGTATGCGCACCGATATGTCGCCTAACCTGAACTCTAAGCTGGTACACAACCTGAGTTCAGGTTGTGCGCATACCTCAGGAGGTCCCAATTCTTAATCGTTAGTCAAATTGCACGCGATTGTTTTTATGCAACTCCTTATTAAATATCTTGAGCCAAGCTCTTCAGGTTGAATTAAATTAGATATCAAACGTGTTACAAGAACCAATTCAGCACAGTGAACCAGAATTATTTATAAAGCCGGATTTCCAAGGTGACATGACTTCATTTTGTTTGCAGAAGATATATATCAAAACAAAAATAGTTGTTAGGTTCGATATAAAATCATCGTAAGGGTCTACATATCCAGGCCTTTAAAAAAAGTTTTTATTGCGCATAGAATTTGAAAAAAATAAAATTTATCCAAATGGCATCGACATCTAAAGAACAAGAAAAGTTAGAAAAAATTATGGAAATGCTTGAGACAAAAAGCGATGACAGTGACGATAAGGGAGCTGGAGAAGATACGAGAAAGGTTGCCATTGACAATGAGAAGCTTGCATGCACCATACATCTTCTTTATTCTGCTAGCAAAATAAGATTGTACAAAATCGCAAAAAAATCTCTTGACATGTCGCGTCCCAAAGACTTAACACTCTCCAGCTAAGAAAACGTACTACCTGTTTCGGAAAAATAGAATTCCCGAATTAAGATCGATAAGTAACAAAGGTGAATGGGCCGATGATATGAGTGAAATAGCGGGAAAACAAGTGGTGGTCATTGGTATTCACAAAGACGGAACACTTGTTGTTCAACTTGGCACCGGCAAATCCTGGAGAATAAATTCTGACTCTGTGTTAGGACAAAATGAAACAAGTTTTAAAGCAGAAGTTCAGGATGTTGAATCTGTTCCAGGCGACATTATTAAGATTAAAATTGTACAAAACATTCGAATGCTCATGGATGCGAAAAATGTGCCATTGGCCTTCTTTGAATACTTGAGGCTGACAGCAAATCTTAGTCTAGTTGATGATGATATAGATTATATCATAACATATAATTTTTTTTTTTTTTTTTTTTTTTTATACATTGCGGATCAGAATTTTTTCAGTAGCTCGGATCAGTGTCTTGAAGACACGTCATATCCGAGTCATATCGGTATAACGAACGCTTCATAAGCATGCCACTTCGTGAGCAGCAGTCATATACTTATGGAGGCTTCAGTATTTGCTGCGCCACTGCAAGACACAAACTTCCACCCCGGGGTTCGGCATATGCTGTTTGTCACAGCATTGCTTTATTCCGGGGCTTCTGTCTATGCCACGCAGAGCACAACACAACTTCCGCCACTCCCGGCTTCCGTACATACTGCGTAAAATTGCACACAGCATGCCATCCACCGCGAAGCTTCCGATTCATCACATCCGCTAAGTGGGAGATGGTATTTCTTAGTGTTTAAAAGGGCTAAAAGCTGTAGTTACTAAGCCGAAAGGTATGCTATTGTTTGTGGTGGTTGAACATTTTTCAATTTCGGGAAAAGTTTTAACGTTGACCAGATGGTAGAGAGGAAAGCGTTAGGTCAGCAAATACCCATTCAGGATCTCCTTCCAATTGACCAGCAGCCCCAAAAACAGTAGATCTTTGTGCTTGTTTTCCATTATGTTCAAAAATTGTGCAATCTTTACTGTCGTTGATTGGATTATACTTTTGTCAGTGGGGGCCAAATATATGTTTTCAATATCCAGTTTGATCTTTTGTTGAATTATGGTGGTTTTTATCAGTACGAAGCATTTTATAGTAATAATCTGGTGCGGTCCATTGTAGCTGTTGTAGAAAATTTCGTCCTTTGTTATTTGTATGGGACTGTAGAGTATTTTGTTGAGGATTTGTGTTATTTCTGAAATGTAAGCTTTTACGACACTGCAGTAAAAAAACAGGTGTTTGGTACTATCTGAATTGTTATTACAAAATTTACAGTTAAGTATTTTTTGAACGCCGGATGTTCCAAACCTGAGGGTCATACCCCTCATCCTATCCCCGAATACATATCCTTCCCTGGCAATTCTGTAAGTAACAACTCTTTCAGCATTGGAGAAAAATGACCTAGTGACGTTTTTCCGTAGATGGACATCCTCCCAATTTGCATCTTCCGATTGCGGGTCAGGATAAATGTTTTTAAGTTTTTGATAAAGGTGTTTTTGTTTTGAGGTTTGCCAGTCCTCATGCGAAAAGTTTAAAGTCCAGAAAATTTCTAAGATATATTTCCAATAATGCGGTACTACAGGAGCGTGGGGCATTGAGTTGCTGTATAGTTTTTTATTTATTGTGTTGATTTTGGAGCCCAAAGCGTATAAGGCTTCGATGTGCCAAAATTGATCAAGTGTTCTGCCGTCTACAAATGCTTTCATTTTCTCGACCTGGCAGGCTTTTACCTTTGCTTGGACGTCGATTAAGTTTATTCCTCCCCGAGTCCATGGTAGCTGCAGCTTTTTTCTACCTACGGATTCAATTTTTTCAGGATACCACAAAAATTTGCATATCGAATTTTGGATTTTCTTAATCTCTCCCAATGACATTGATTTAGTTCTCGCATGAAATATAATAATTGACATAACCAAGGAATTTATGATCACCAATTTTCCATACCAGGTGAGCTGTCTAGTTTTTAAGTAATTTAGTGTCCGGGTAAGTTTGGTTCCAATTTCGTCCCACATTTTAGCTAGTGTTTTTTTTCCGAAATTTATACCGAGTATTTTTACGTCATCTTTGATATATCGAACAAGAGAAGAGTTGGATATTGATCTGCGTGAGGATTCCGTGATACATAAAATTTCAGTTTTATCTTTATTAATTGTTTGTCCAGATGCCAGTTTGAAGTTATCTAATTCTTTGAATATTTCTTTGATGGAAGGTTGGTCGGTTACTGCAAATGTGATGTCATCGGCATATTGATCAATCTTATGATGGTATGTCCCCAATTTTATACCGTGAATGTTATTATTTGAAAAGACGGATCTAGCAAGAGGCTCTACACATATTGCATATAACAACATGCTCAGCGGGCATCCTTGCCTTATGCCACGCTTTATGGTGACTGTATTAGACAACTTACCATTGACATCTATCTGCGATTTAATGTTAAGATACATATTTTTAATGACTTTTAAGGTCTTGTCCCCAAGTCCAATTTGTTCCAGAATATCAAACAGAAATTTATGATTCACATTATCGAACGCCTTTAAATTATCGATTAGGATCAGCGCCCCCGGGATGTTTTTAGATCGGCAATATCGCAAAATGGCGTCGGTGTTATAATGAATATCATTCATACTCCGGTGCAATAAGGAGCATTTTTGTGAATTACTTATTATTTTGGATACAACCGGCTCTAGCCGTCTTACTATAATTTTTGCTATAATTTTATAGTCCATGTTAAGAGTCGTTATAGGTCTCCAATTTTTCAGTTCCGTCTCGTCGTTTTTCTTGTATAATAACTTAACTTTTGCGGTTGCTGATGATTTTGGAAAGGGGCCGAAAGAAAGGACGTTATTGATGAGCTGGGTAAATGACGTTTTTATTGTGTTCCAAAAAGTCATATAAAATTCTTTGCTAAGTCCATCTATGCCGGGTGATTTGTTGTTTCCAAGTAACTTGATTGCACTGTAAATCTCACCGCTGGTAACCGGTTGTTCCAATAAAAAGTTTTCTTGCTCAGATATTTGGGTTGAGCTCATTAATGATAGATATTGTCGCTGATAGTGGTCGTTCGTTTCATGTTCTTTACCCCATAAATTCCCATAGAAGTCTTCAACTATAGACATGATCGCACCCTCTTCTGTCACTACCTGGTTGTTTGCCGTTTTTAACCTCACTATTGTGGTTTGTTTTGCTCGCTGTTTGATTTTCGAGTAAAAACTTGTGGTTGGTTTTTCCTTCTCTTCCAGGTCAGTCAGGTTAGCCATTAATGCATCTAATCTGTACTTCTCATTTTGTAGAGATCTTAATTGGGATTTAAGGTTTTCAATTTGCAAAAGATTTTCGGCTTTCCCTTCATTAATGAGTTTGTCTAAATTTTTCCGAATTAGAGTTATCTGGTTCCTTTTATCTTTGACGACAGTTTTAGAGTATGCGACTGTAGTTTTTTTAATTTTAAGCTTCAATTTGTCCCACCAGTCTTGAATTTGATAAAAATTTCCTAGTTCAGTCAGAGTAGATTCGAACGTGTTGTTTATGATTTCTACGTAGGTCGGATCTTTATATAGAGACAAGTTGTTGCGCCACGTTCCTTTTCCCCAGCGGACTTTTTGGGTTTTTCTAAGTTGGATTACCGGACATAGCAGATGATCGGCTACGGTGTTTGTTGTGTGCGATATAGAGGCAATGAGGTGTTCCATGCTTTTTGAGTTAAATATATTGTCAATACGGCTGCCGTGTGATCCAGTATGATAGGTAAAAATTTGTTTTAGTGGGTACTTCTTCCGAAAAGTGTCCTGTATGTTATTTTCTTGGATGTAATTTATAAAAAGTTTTTCTGGGGGTCGAAGTTTAAATTTTCTGGGGTCCAGGATGTCAGTTTGTTTCAGAACGAAATTAAAGTCGCCCACTAATAATAAGTTTTGACTATTACCGTAATATGTTAACAGATTGATCAAATTTTTAAAAAATTCAGTTTTTCCCGGTCCATTTTGTGCTGGCGCATATATGTTAAATATTTTTATGACTTTACCGTCAATCTGAATCTCCACGCTGTCGCATCGATTTTCGATATAGGCATTGTACGTATTCGGTACTATCGGGTTTTCTATCTTTACTAAGATTGCGGTTCCCTGCCAAAATCGACTATGATGTTTATCCGTTATATCGAGAGTGTTGAAATAAATATTATATCCCAGCATATTGGCCCAGTTTGTCGAAGATTTTTTATCTATCCTATGAACTTCCTGTACGCAGAGTATATTGGGGTTCTCATGCTGGATGAAATTTTTCATTTCACTCAAGTGTTTATGAAAGCCGTTTGCATTTAAGGAGATTAGCTTTATGAGGGCCATGACTTACATTAATGTGTAAAAAGGGAAAAATTCGAGCTACCGTTTGTGGTAGTTGGATATTTGGTCACTTTAGTTTAAATAAATATTGTTCATTTACGGGTTTATAGCAGAACAAAGAAGTTTCACCTACATCATTTTTTCTTCTTTCCTATGATCCCCTTGTCCAATGATGACTCGGAAGATGTTGTTTCCTGTCTGTTTCTCTTGTTGTTGTAGTCCTTATTTTCATTTATATCCAAATTCAGTTTGTTCGGCAGAGGAGTACTTTCTTCTAGATATGCGGGGGCGGAATGAATTTCTAATGGTGAGGTAGAGAAACAGGACGATGGTGTGTCCTGTTGTTCAATATTGTGGACCATCACCTTAACATATGCCCTGCCCTTTGATGGCGGGTTATAGGGCGTATTGCCAATCGTTGAGGTTTTTGTGACGTCTGCCTGGTATTGATGCATTTCGGCGGTGTCTTGATGATTGGGCTAATTACATTCTCGATTTCTTCACACTCCGACCAATTAGATATCTCTTTTAAATTGCTTGTTGGTGATTCCACTGCGGAGGAAGAGAATTCTGATATATCGATTTGTGCAGGTTCTTGAGTGTCTTCCAATTGTATGATACCTTTGTTTTGATTTTGCTCTGCGTTTCGTTCTTTCTCACCATTTTGTTTCGGTTCATTGATTTTTCGTTCGTCTTCCACAGGGTTGTTCGGCCGTTCATTCTATTCTTGAGGGATTCCCTTGTTTGTGCCTATTTCGGGCGACTTTGATGGCATTGTTGCGTCTTCTTCACGTCCATTGCATTGTACAGGTTGAGTACTTTTTGGTACGAGGTTTTCAGAGGCGTTTTGAACAGTTGTTGGTTGTTCTCTACGTCTGGGTGCAGACCATGCGTCGCTGGGGTTGCGTTGGAGTGTGGGATATTCCTTCTCTCGCTGGTCGCAGTTTCTTCGAAGGTGACCCGATTTCTTGCAGTGTCTGCAAACGGGGTCATTTTCACATTCATAGAAGATGTGGCCCGTCTGCAGACATCTGCCACACGTAGGCGTATATAGTTCTCGTGGTAGAAACGTTTTGCATCTTCGGCCATTGATGGTAACAAAGTCCGGCAATTTTTCTTTATTGAAATCTTCCATTAAAAACGAAGTATATCCATTGTATATTTGTGTTCCTCTATAAAAGTTACGAACAGCACTTCGAATCTTTCCACAACCAAGGTTATTCACGGTTGCTGCGGCCTTGGAAAATATCGTTTCGTATATAATTCCCCTTATGGAGATACGAACAGGTGGTTTGTTTGGCATCGATACTTCTATCTCTACTCCATCTGCTCTGATCAACCCACCAGTAGCTTTGAAGAATTCGTCGCGGCAGCTTTTTCCATCTACTTCGGCAAAGGAGAGTAACCATGAGCCCTTTCGAGACTCAAATAACCCCCTTATTTGGTCGCAGAATTTCTGTGTTCTTTCGTTTTCTTTCAGTAAGTCCAATAAAGTGGCGAAATCCATGTCTTGCTTTGTGTTCAGGTATACTGTCAGCCGTTGCGTGTTTACAGGTGAATTTGTTGATTCCGTTGGTGGTGTTGCTGCAGCTGCGGAGTAATCCATTTTATTGAATTGTAATCCAGGCAGTCAAGTATACTTTCTAGTTCTTTCCTGATTTATACTCGAATGACACTATAGATTTCCTGTCTGAGACGCGTCGACATTTGCAGACATCTCAAACTACGCTCCACTCGCGCACGACGCTCCTGACCGGAATGTCTCAGCATATTCAACTACGTTGAAAAAAGCATCGAAGGACGAAATTGAAAAACACTCAATGATCAAGAACAAGGTAACACAAATTGAAGTGGGCGATGAAGTTTATCTTGATGTTGGTTCTCCAAACTACGTGGCCGCTGAACTCAGGGAGGTTGACGCAAGTGATGAGGTTATCAAAGCTATGACACGATCCGCAAACCTAATTGGATTTTCAGATGATGGCCGCGCTGTTATAGAGTATAAAGATGGGAGTCTGTACAAAATAAAGAAGAAATTCTTGACAGTTCCTGAAAGATTCAGTATCAGCGAGACTGACGAAGGATTTGACTATGACGTCGCTAAAGATATTCAAGAAACAGTAGCAAATTGTGTTCAGATCATTCACGCGGATGATCGTGGGGGAGCGGAAGATCAAGCTACCATTGTCAAGATTTTAGCTATGACATATGGATCTCCTACCGTTATGGATTTGAGGATTATTTCAATGGCTGCAACAACTGAAAACATTTGCGAATATCTCATACAAATGAGCGACTGGAATGTCGAATTCGTGAGCAGTGGAACATTTTACATTACAAAGCTCAAAGCTTCTACCCAAGAAGTAAAAGTTGGTTTGTATTTCAACGACGATGACTATCCGCCACATATATGCAGGTCTGAAAAGACGCATTGGAAGGAGGAACAATCTGCCACTAGAAAAGAAAGCTTGCTTGTCGAGGAGGGGGTCGAAGCACCAGCCGCAGCGTTTCCTATTGGAAATGCAGATGTCCCACGCTTACAACATGGTATGCCACAACCAGGAGTTGTGGGAGTTGATGAGTTTCGTTACGTGTGCTTATTCGATCCTTCTTTATCTCGAAATGTTTATTTTCCTTATATAAATCGAGGTGAACACCGTACACCACTAGAAAACAATGATGAACATGACGGAGGAATGAGAACACCAAATATTATGAACATCTACAATATCAACAAAGTTAATAGAATCACAAATTGAATAGTTGAAAATTACTGATAAATATAATCGATAAGACATAACATATTCATTATATAACAACCAGTATTACAAATACAATTTTGTGACCTTTCTTTGATTCTTTGTCAAATCCAATAGTTCTACATATTTGCGACTTTTTTTGTTACTTTGTACATGGTTATGTCGATAAAACTCCTGATTTATCGCGTACGAAAACAAATCGAAAATTAATGAAAAATGATAGTCAAAAAATTTTATAACTATAAGTTTTACTGAGTACAAAAATTGAGAACTTTGTATAAAATTGGTACTGTTTTTAAACTTACTTTCACGTTTTTTTATTTAATTTTCTCAAGCGCCAATATCAGAAAGTTAGATGCTTTATGTTTCTGCGTTTTTGAAATATCCATTAAGGAATTGCAATTATTTTAAATTCGCGTGATTCGTGTTTTGTCCTTTTAATTATGCCAATTCAAAGTGTTATAGATTAAATTTTTATTGATCATATCTGTGATCATTTATTTTTAAGTTTTTACATACATAAAGATAAAAGTTATATGTTTATATGAATATTACAGAAGACATGATATTATATTGACCGTTTCATCACCAATTTTTGAAACTTACTGAAATATACTCTTTTCACTGCAATTGGATGAACGTTGTTATTGTTTATTAGAACAACATAATAATGTTAAAGTGAATTAACGTGCAAAATTAGTTTTTTTCAAACGTAGCCATTCTCTCTACGTGGCAATGGGGCAAGATAGTTACCAGTCTAGAGTTGGAATTGAGGAAGAAGTTACAAAGCAAAATTTCATAGTTATTGTTATGAATTTCCATTGCCATACAAAAGACACCAACATGAACAGGTTAAAAGCTCGGAGAGTTGCAGAAAATTTTTCATGACAAAGAATATTTGGAAAATACTTATTGCATATATATTAGTTCTGTTGGATGATCTTGGCCCAATCCTATCGGCCATTGCGCTAACGCTAACCATTCTCTTTTTTTGGAATGAAACGAAGTTGAAACAAAAATTTTAGTTAAGAGGAAATGAATTTTCACCATCGACCCTAACATTCAGAATATTGAGAAGAGATACTGCGAAAGTATATATATATATTGTGAAGTCGTTTCGGCCCGAGATAAATAAAATTCATGCGTCGGGAACAAATCATGAATTGTAGCGATGCAAGAATTTGCCCCACGAGGATTCGCACGAACCCGTTCTTGAGTGATAATTAGCGAACCTGTTCTGGTCTTCTTTTTGAGCATGATTATACCCAAAAGTTTACGATATCTAGAACGCGTTGCACAAACGTTATGTTCACTCTAGTTTATAATATCTTTCAAATGAACTCCTTGGCGTTGGTAACAGACTTGCATTCGTTGTCAATCACTCAGTTGGTTTTCTGCTGAAGCTGTCCATATAGATTTGAAGATGGAAATGGAAGAGCTAAAACGGTGAATTCATAACGTTACATGACAATGCTCAGAAAGTTCTGGACATCAATTGGACGGTGTCGATTGCAACGTTTGGAGCGGTCGATTGCAAAAGATGTTGAAGCGCACTTCCTGAAAAAATTGTATTCAACCAGCGTTCACGTAATAATGACTGTTTTGTGATCTAAAAAAGAGAAATACCATACTGTTTGTACTATAGATACATAGGCATAAAAGACAAAACCCGATAAAGTACATTATTAGGTAGTATGTTTGCTATCGAGCTTTCGAAACAAACAAACCGAGCCATTTTTAACTTGTCTTGAAATTCAGCGTTTTAGCAAGTTTTATATAACTTCAATATCGTATTTCATGCGACTGTAAAAATCTTGATCCTCCATTGGTAGGAAACACGACTAAATTTCACGACGATCTCAACCTTTGTTCGGTTAAAAAAATAATTATTCGGTTTTTGTTCCAGGCACATGGACTTGTAAGGTGACCTCATCGTAAGGTGACCTCGAGTATTGTAAATACTATTCATAAAAAATATTGTTTAATTCAAATTTTTTTATGGCGATACATGCAGTAAGATATACCGATAACGCTTTTATCGCCGATACTGGTACCGATCCAATATCGACACACCGATATTTTGAAATGCCGATATTGCCGGTACTCCGATACTGATATTCCGATAATATTTAATTTTATTCTGGATTGTAAGGGACTGACAGGATGAAATACTTGCCTGCGAACTATATTTACGTCGGACAAGTGGGACACAACATTTTCGAGACACCGCATTTTTGCATTAATTTGACTTTCTGCAAAAGATTCTTTATCTTTATTGTTCAAATCGACGTACCACAGAGTATTTCATTTTAACCTCGTAGAAAAGAAAGCAGCGCCATCATGTTATGAACTATCATATTATTATTACCGTATAGCAATTATGGATAAGCATAAATTTAGGCGGAAAGATAAAAAGAAAACTCTGATCACAAAATTTTGTCACAAGAGTGTAGTCGCCTCACGCACAATTTATCTTGTTGATTTGCTTTGTGTGTGACAGACTATATCGCTGCCAAGTAGGCCTTCAGAGCCGTCTTTTTGCCTCTGTCAGTCTGATGCTTGCTACTTATAGATTTTGATTATTGTCTGTGGTGACCCGTGATATATTTTATTGGCAATGAAACATCTTTAAATTAGCTGGCATACAAAAAAGAGGACTGAAAAATCTACATAATGGAAAAAGGTAAGCAAGCTTTCTATACTAATGCTTTATTTTATCATTTTCAATTTATAACAAAACTAAAGCATGTAATATAGGTTGGATAGTACGGTAATTATTGCTTCCCATCGACATGACTAAGGCATCCGACGCCAATACAAGTAAATGAATTTTTTTTAAATTTATTTGCCTCTATTTTGTTGTCGTCTACTGTTTCCACCAAAAAGTATTACTTCAATAAGGATAGTAAAGACATACATCGACAAAGTGTAAGAAAGAATTATTTCTCTATTTTTTGATACGGACATCCGGCGATATCAATTTTATTGTATATGTATTTTATTGTATGTATTTTGTGCATTTCAATATGTCTCTCGACTCTAGTCTGTTTTCTGAAGACGCTATTAGTTAACGATTGGGTTTCCGATTTAAGGAAATTTGAAGGTCGTTTATGAATGCATGTTATAACATTAACCGAAGGAATAAAGCTAAGACAAAATTAAGAGTCGTAATATTGTCGATGTTTCAAACGTAGTCGAAACTGTGGTATCGGTTCGATTGCGCTTATTGCGCACGACCACTCTTCAGACGACCATATTAGTTCAAGGTTTAGCGCATCAAACTTTCATGCATGATTCAACGTCAGCATTTACTGATTTTCGAGTGAGTGGCACGTGTCCACGTCTCTTCGAACCAGGCATCCAATATGTACATGTATATATACATCGTTGGCATATAGTTGTTTCACTGTTATTGTCAAAGCATTTAATCGATATGATACAACTTTATGGGTGAAGAACTTTTAACCATAGAGTGTTGGCATTTTGACATTTAGTAATAGGTGTATTGTATCAGCACAACGCTTTTCCTATTGTAATTTGAGCTCAAAATATATGCTTCCAAATTGAAAGGAATTGTTTCAAACAATAAAACAGTAATGAGTATTGCCGTCGCAAGCATGAACATATTTGAATATCTATTATTTCTTGACATATATTACAAGCGTACTCAAACAATTTAATGAAGTGTCTGATTTCTATTGAAACCCCCTATACCACCTTCAAGTAAATTCAGTTATTTTTATCTACAAGACACATCTAGCCTAGCCTAAAATTACGCTATTATGCCCTTCTGAACATTGATGCCATCCATCCGCAGCACGTAATCGGCGACGCGTTATTGCTAGTGTAAATCGCAGAGAATGATGGATATTAACACAATTGCTTTAATGTGTTTGTGGGGGTATCATTTGTACAGTGTAATTCATCGTTTTTAATGGGACTAATTTAATCACAACGTTGAATATTTCAAAAAAATATCGGAAGAAAATTTAATTTCCACGTGTAATAAAATTAAGACGAGCTTATTCCAACTGGCATGGCTTATCAATCCATGTTCTAACATTTCTCTAAATTATTCTATTGCAGTGCAGAAGTTGGTAAACATATTCGAATTTGGGTCTGGCGATGATGGCGGATTAACATTGTCACTGGATGCCTTGTCTAAAGTATTGTGCCAACCAGCGATCAAAGACAAACCACTTGCAGTCGTTGGTATTGCAGGTGCACTTAGAACCGGAAAGTCTTTTCTGATGTTAATTTTGATGCGATATCTTAAAAATAAAGGAGTAAGTTTTTCAATTAGAGTATCATAGCGTTTAAAGTTCTTACGTTCGAATATATAGTACAGTTTTGTCGAAGCTGAATGAAAATAATTAAATGAAAATAAGTTAACGAGACAGCGAAATGTATTGCCGCATTAATGATGTCCGGTGTTAAAAGTCCGATGTAATATGTATCAATTGTTAAGAAAAAATGTACGCCTAATAACATCCTAATTTCATTATAATATACAATATTTTTTTTTATATAACCCAACCACGAACGTGTTGTATCTAAGCGTGTTCGAAGAACGGCCAATTATTATGCGATGTTAGTAATATGTTCCTTCGTCATATTATTTTACTTTTTCGATTTTCCAGTGGAAGAATTCGGCCTGGATTGGAGACGATGACAAATGTGCAGATGATGGTATTGAATGGAGAAAAGGTACTAAAGCTCACACCAGGGGAATAGTTCTGTGGAACGAAATTTTTACCGTGGAGAAAAATGGCGAAGAGGTTGGATGTTGTCTTTGAGTTCTTTACCTCACCAATAATCCTACTTTTTCTGTTTTCCATTGTCTATTTTTAATTTATTTTGATGCGATAGTAGGAAATGTCTGCATATTAATCTATAATAATATATAAGATATAAATGAAAATGTAATATCTCCATTAATTTTTTTCAAAATGCTACAAATTAGCAAATTTAATTATTATTTTGTATTTAGTTTACCTACTTTGAGTTAAAAATGCTTTGAGTTTATATCCGAAAGTGATTAGCAAATGAAGATATCTCAAAAGTGATGAAAAAATTAAATATAAATACTTTATTCTGTTTTCAGATTTCGATATTGCTGTTGGACACTCAGGGTCTTTTTGATGACACTATGTCAAAAGAAGAAAATATGAAAATATTTACATTTACAGTTTTGATGACATCACATCTCATGCTGAATATCAAGTCCCAAATAGATGAACGAGAATTGGAATCATTAGAGGTTTGTTTATTTCTTATTTAAAATATTCCCGGAAAATAAAGATCTAAAATGTGGTCAGAAATATGATAATCCTATTCCTCTGCAGCAGGGAAAAGCCAATAAAACTATTAATGATATGATGATCGACATTTTTTGCTTTGTTACCTGTAATACTACCAGGAATAATTGTAATTGATATTTTTAATATTCCGGGTGTGTGAACTCTGATGATAGAATGAAACTCTTGTACATAATCATTCACCACATGATTCAAACGAGAAAACCAAACCACATTATAGCAAGCTTTCTCTTAACACTGTGTATGGTGCCCCAAGTGATTGAAAGGTTGAAATGACTAATTGGTGTACAATTAGACTCGAGAACTTTAATCATTATATATAGGTTCATCTCCTAATTTAGCTTGAATTCGAAATGACTTGTCTCAAATATTGGCACATAGATGTAGATAATACAATCTATCTGGGTACATTTAAAGCAGCATATCTTTACATTCATGGACATATATTTCTTATATACTTTATCTCTGTCATAAAAATAGTCGACTACAATAAATTAATGTCATATATTTTGTAAGGAAATTGTTTTTTTATACCAATATTTACTACGCTCCACAAAATTTCAGTTTTTCACTGAATATGCTAAAAGTGCATCTGCTGAACCAGGAAGTGAATGTCCTTTTCAGGTGAGATATTTAAATGACAGTTGTTGCTCTCACTTCCGTTATTTTTAAAGGAAGCAAACTTATTGCTCATTATATATGCAATAGTCTGTTTCCATCTAGCTCTGATTACTAACATGAAAGATGTTCTTTAATGGTTATACTGAGAAAACGAATCATACTAAATATTATATATCTACATACTATAGTATAGTTTAGTAACTATAGATGGGGTAGTAGTAACTATAGAGGGGGTGGATATATCATGGCATATTTATAGAAAAATAATTCTGCCTTAATTTGACTTTTGACCAATGAATGCTTTAATTGGAATTACCAATGTTGTGCAACTTTATCTTATGCTCCTATGTTTTGCTGTGACAAAATGCAATTGATAAATAAAGAGTTACCAGGTTATACTCTATCTTGGTATAGCAGTGACACAGTGCTTAAACACTGATGTTTAATTTTAATTTTCAATTTATATTTATTCGTCTTAATTTCAGAATCTTTTATTTTTAATCCGAGATTGGCAATATTCATATGAAAATGCCTATGGAGAGAAAGGAGGACAAGAGTATCTCAAAGTTAAATTAGACCAAAAAGTTTCCAAAGCCGAGTTGAATAGTGTCAGGCAAAATTTGAAATCCACATTCCAGGACTTGAAATGTTTTTTGATGCCATCGCCCGGCCCATGTGTCTCTAATGCAGAATTTGATGGCAAAAATAAAGGTGAGACGTTGACAAAGTAACTGAATGAATCAGCTATTGTTTACGCCAAGTTTTCCTCCTGACTCCTAATATTTTGACAACATGTTGTTGATGTCGCTTGCTATACCAAATATTACCTACCTGATTATTTATCTCGTTTCTAGGGATTTGTTCAAAAAGAATTGTTTTAGAACAGTTGTTTTAAATCAAGTTTTCTTTTTGCCTGTATTGTTCAAAATTGCTGTACTATATTTGATTTTTTTGTATTAAATAGGTTGAAGGAAAATGAATGTAAAAACTTGCCAAGCGCTTCTTTTTTGCTATAAATCCTTCGAAATGCCATAAATATCGATAAAGGCCCATACACACCTCCTCAAGCTGTAGTTCAGTGCGACCGCAAACGTGGTTGGCGCAGTAAGACGTAACCGATAAGCCATTACGTGAACGACCCTGCTACGAAACCATCTTGCGAAAATTGAAATGTGATCTAATAAATCAGTTTGTATAACTATGAAAAACTCACTTCAACATTAAGAACAAAGTATGCTAAGTATAATTTATCGAACAGTATTAACAGTAATAACGCCTTTATTTTCTGAGAAAAATGTCAATACATAAGCTCGAAATCCTTATTATGGCGCCAAAATAGGTTAGTTGTAGCGTCTTTGCATCAGAGGACTCTTACAATTAGCATAGTCTAGAACTCCAGATTAGCGCGTCTCATCGTTTAAATCAGTAGATTGTCGCCGATGTAAGTTGATTCTTCATTATCGTAATCCACTCGTTTTTCGAAGGCTGCCCTTGATCTAATTAATTTTGTAGTTAGGCTCGTGGGCTAAGTTTCACGATTTTTCTTACTCAAAACATCTCTCTGGTATCTAGGATAAACATTCCGATTAAAATCTTATGACTTTGTTGCAGATACCACCGTGGCGATAAATGTACGCAATAGAAATAAAAGTCAAAATAAGAATTTTACTTATATTTTTGAAATTATAATTCCGGCTGCGTGTGTAGCTGCCAGAATGCAACGTTTTGGCATAGTTTCGCGGCTATGCAAAGAGTATTTCGATGAAAAATACGAAAAGTACAGAATGAAATTGATTTAAAACAAGCCCTTGTTTTAAAACACGATGTTTTTTTTTGGATTTGATAAAAAACAAAACCCTATACTCGTTTCCATTTTGATAATACAATGCATGTTATCAATTCAGCGTTTTGAAACAACTATTTTTTGTTTAAGACATGAATGCAGACTTTCTTGAGAATGTAAAAGGTCTTGCAGAAACACTGTTTGAACCAACTAACATAAAGTTAAAATCATTCAATCAGAAATATCTAACAGGGCAAGACCTTTGGTTTCTTCTTCAATCTTGTAATGAAACTTTCATCAATGGAAAGGTTCCTGATGTTGGGAACATGGTTTTGGTATGCACTATGTCTATGAATGTGAAAAGTAGCTCAGTATTTAAACATTATGCACTCTTAAAAATCTTTTGTTCAAATGTTCTAATTGAAGTAATTTTTAATGTTTTGTTTTATTTTGTTGAACTTAGATAAATCCATTCAAAACTTTAACGTTAATTTGAATCATTTGTCTTGTTTTGTTTTATTCCAATTGCTTCTCCAAGTTAACCTTGAAATTATAATATAAACCATACAATGTTGAAGTAGATATACATTTAACAATGTATTCATAATTTTGCCACATTATTTCAGCTGCAGTCTATAATCGAAGCTCTATTGTACAATACAATTTGATTATATGGAATTTTTAATGCACGATTAGCAAAAAAAAAATTTTCTGTTTTTTACCATCAATATGTTGATGTTGAAATTTCGACAATCTTTCGACAACAGATTATATTCACATCTTATACAATTGAATTGGTTTTTTAATTTACGAGTTTTTAAGTTACTAATTTTTAGGCCTTCAGGGTCTAACTGGATCTTCGCAAAATTGCTGAATTGATATTTCAAATCTTAAAAAAGTGTAAATTTTTGTCTTCACAGGCCTTTGCTAGGATGAGGAATAGAATTGCCGTAACAGAAGCCTCGCGCATATTTGAAGAAACATACAAGGAAGTAGGATATACTAAAATCATATACTCTACTTTACTCAAATTTCCATAGAGGGATGAAGATAATATACAACTTATAATTTTTCATTCACTACATTGATTAAATAAACATGCTAAAGTTTTACTCTACTATTAAGTGCACAAGATGTTACTAGGCGATGTCAAATATAGGATAGCAGACCAGTTAATTGCTCCAAATGTATGAATATGGATGTAAGATATTGTCCGTTTGTATAAGGAAAAGTAACAAGGTTTCTGTGGCTTGAATTATTATTTTATTAGTGTTAAATCTGTCAGAAATTCAACAATTTAATAAAATATTTTAATCCCCTTGGCCTCAATGATGGTACATATTTTTTAAAGTATCATTAACAATCAAGTGTTTATCTATCATTGTGCATTATTAGTAAGTTTCCATGAATCTCGCATCAACACATTTCTTGCACAGTACCCTCATTCAAAAATAGGAAACGCTAGGCTTTATGGTCACAGCTTATACAGCACACATCAATGTAATCTTATAAAGATATGAATTATGTAGTAAAATTAGTATTAGTGTTGTTAATTATAATTTCAGGAAGAATTCAGGCATGCTAAAGAGTTGGAAAGAAATCGTGATGAGTTTTATGAAAAATCTCTATATGCGGCAAAACAACATTTTGAAGATCAAAGTAGATTTGGTGGAGAAGATCTAAGAATTGATTATCAGGAGATCTTGATATCGGAATGTCAGGACCGGTTTCATATATATGCGAACTGGGATGATCTGAGAAAGGTGTAAACTAGGGGTCGGCAACCTTTTGTCACTCGCGGGCCAAAATTAAGGGTTGCAAGTCATTGGCGGGCCGCACATATTTCTAGAAGGTTGAAAACCGAACGGATGATACTTTTTGTAATGAAAATCAAGCAATGATACATCTCTCGAATAGAATATAGATTCATTTCCTCGTTGAATTGCATCTCAAAAATTCCATTTGACAATTTTCGGCGCCATTGAACCCTTTGCACTTAACATCAACTTTTCTTTTTTATTGCCATTTGTCTAATTATAATTAAATTATAGACTCATTAAACGAGTCATTGTGAATTTTATACTTGTTAGATTATGATATAATTTAGTCTGCACGCGTCTCACAATAAATTCTGTTACGTAAAGAATATAATCGTCGAAACAGCTGAATGTGTTACAATAATTCAGTGAAGCGTCGCTGGCCGGATCCGACCCGCGGGCCGTTGCCGACCCCTGGTATAAACAAATCATAGGCATTTTTATTTTATTTTTTTTACAAACCTGCTTTTGCGATAAGCTATTACACACACTTTGTTGTGCTCTATGTGTATTATAATTTAAACCAACTATTTTTAAACTTAAATTTTAAGAGCTATTACCTCAACTGCTGGTCCCTGTGAATTAATCAGTATATACATTTTGCTAGAACGCCTGGTGTATCGAGATGAAGCAAAGTTAGCTATATGTTATGAATTAGACTCTAATTATTACAGTCATCAATTCAGAAACCTCTATTCTATATAATTAGTAACTAGATTTTTGTCATTTATATGGCAACAGAAAATATGTTTTGTATACATTGTAAACAAATGAATTGTGACACAATTCGTTATAATTTATCGTCCAGATCAAAGCACAAAATTTTTCATCACAAAAGAGTCATGAAATTCTGACTAGATATCGGGAAAATATGAAAAAGGTGAGCAATATAATCATTAAATGGGAACCTATTTCGAAGAAATCTGTAAAAATGACATATACAAACAATATAATGTTGCATCTTGAATTTTAGTCATGATTTCTATAACATAAATTTCAGCATGTCAGTTTTTGAAACATGCATTCATGATTTGTTTGTGTGATGCAGTTTTGCTTCCAGTACCATACCTTCTGGCGTGTCACTTTGTTTGTATTCCTGAATCAACAGGCAGTAGGTATTCTATATTGCATCTTGATTGGCTAAAATATACCCTAAGATAGTGGTATCGTGTTAAAGAGATTCTAATGCCCGGTACTTTTCCGAAGGTTTGTTCTGATGTTACTGTTAGTGGCGCAGTCAGGGGATGTGGGGTCGGGGTCGAAACATTCCCATCTCCCTTTTTAGGAAATGAGAAACGCTAATGACGCATACGATTGCATTCTGTTAAAATCACAGGTTGTTTTTTCCAGCGTGACGTCAACATCTTATTTCGGCGTTTATTCTCGCTAACTCACAAGTTTCCCTGGACATATGTTTTATGCCACTAGGTCGTATTAATTCTTACTTTTTTGTTATCGCACGGAACTAGGAGTCCAGTGAGAAAAAGTTATTATATTATTATCGATGACGAGGTGCTAAGGATAAACAAATGAGTAAATCCGCAGTAACATAAAATACAAAGAATAAAATGGAACCGCCATAAGTTTTGTTGGAAGACCCGCGACTCTATGACGGTATATAACAGGGGTGGGCAACTTTTTTTAGTATAAGAGCCGCATGCAGCAAATCGGAAATATGTGAGAGCCGCATAATTTTTGAAATTATTAATATTAGAACTCATTGAATCATTTTGCATTGTAACTGTTACATTTGGGAGATTAGCCTTTGTGTAGTGCGATGCGAAACCGGCGACTACATCGGGTGTTTAGCACGTGCAATATTCCATGATATAACAAAACTAGCTTCAATTGATGCATCGGATATATATCATAAATTTCTGCTGTCTTTTTAGTTAACTCAAAGTCATTTAATCTGTGTTTTTTAAAGAACGTGGTTTCTGATTCCTTCGCATGGAGATTTTTCCAACGGCGATAACGAATACGCAAGATCGCAGAGATATGTATCAAAACCAAATTATTCGCAGATTGTCGTGGTACCTTAGATTGGCAATGCCTTTATTTTGTCGTAGGTTCGCGCAATCTCGAGGAACGTTTAACAATTGAATTGAAATAGAAACCCATTTTAAATTTTCGTAGTTGTGATGGATTAAATATTACGCGACAGAATAAGTCATTTCACACTAAGTCGGCTCTCTTCACGAACCTGTACCGTTTCTGAAGCCGTTGCCACCCGTTTTTTGGATAATCCTGAATGCTCCCCTGTTGACACTGTTTTGTATGTTGCGTATAGATATAGCGTCAAAACCTTTCTCATTTATTGTTATAGTATGGATTTTGTTAGGAGTTCAAAAAATTGATAGCAATGTTTATCAAGTAATTAATCTTGTTTGCACGTGTTGGTATGGATATTTGTATTTAAAACTTTCCATTTTTTTCATCTTAGGACCTTGGTGCTGGTTATAATGAACCTGATGTTTTCAAAAAGCATCATAAAAAAAATCAAATAGCTTTGTTGGAGGCTTACAGAAGTGAGACTGCAAAATATGCATCCTATAGTAAAGAACATGAATTGCTACTGATAGAGAGCATCAACCACTCTAAAGAGAAGTTTGAACAAATGAATGATGATTTAGGTTTCATTATGGCTTTAGGAAGTCAAGTTCCATCCGACCGTCAACCGGAAGATATTTTGCCTGAAGTGAGTATTGGTGAAACTATCATAATCGTTTTCTTTTCAAATAGTTTATTTTTTTATTCATTTTTATTTCAATTAACTTTTCCCCGTTTTAATCACTCGTTGGACATGTCTGTTAGAACTATGAATTCTATAAGCAAATTGATGTCGTTGCTGTGTGTTTCACTGTTATAAACTTATTTTCTTGTTTACTGTCTTTATGAAATAGATTACAGAAACTAAACAATTTCTAATCTATTACTTTACTATCTTAGCATGTCTTGTTGAACAACGAGAAAGAGGAAATAGAAACCAGAGATATTCAGACTGGCTTGTAATAGAGAAATATAGACTTATTTCTTATTTTTTCTTCCAATTTTATTTCCTGGACAGGAACAACAGGATCTTGTTAGACAATATGAAGCTTGTCTTCTGTTTTATGAATTATCACTCCAATACAAAGAGGAATTTGAAAAAGTTTGTATTGAATAATTTGTACAAGTTATGACTTACCAGTTCAAAAATTGTTAGTTCATTGTTATCAGTTATTGAAATTACTTGGACAGTTCCATGCTGAACATTGATCGCTGTTTTAGTTGTTATGAAGAATGAGTATGTGCAAAAAGATTACCGCACTCCTCACCATAGTGAATGTGACCACTGATTAACTGGTGAATTAACTATTTCCATAGCGGGCCTGATGATTGAGAAATCTTGTTTCCTGATATGATTAAGCTTTATTATTACATCTTATAAAATGACTAAAATTAAAATTACTACTATTTATCATGGCGTCATGCCTTAATTTAATTTAACCTATGTCATTACTTTTGCTTGTTTTTTCCTCCTAAAATTTTAAGTGAAAAATAATAATGAGCAACCGGGATTTGATTCAGGTAAATGCATCGCAATTACGTCAATTTGACGTCTTGACATCTGAAGGAATCACTCTCATTTTCTAGTTCTCTGTCCTGTATGTTGCCGAAGATGATTTAAAGAAACAACTAAATGAGATGAAAAATGCATATTATAAGTTGTTTGAAGATAGGTGGCCCAGACATGGGGCAAACATTGCAGCGTTCCGAGATAGATTTCTGAAGTTACTGAATGAAGAATATCAAGATTGCTTAGATTTGAACGCAAGGAACAAGGTCCGTGGTGCATTTAAAAAATCTTATGACATATTTAAATTACATTTGGAAAAAGTACTAAAAATAAATCGAATGAAGTATACTGCTCCCAGTTGACAATCAGGCTTAGGTATAGGACCTAGACTTTTCAGATTGTCAAAAAGATAACAAGATGAACAAAAAATTACCTTGTAATGTATTACCTTTACTTCATATTATCCTTGTCTTGTTTATTTTTTCTTTATAGAAAACAAAAGTTATAAACTGAAATAATATTTGGTTAGTAATAACTAATTAATATATACTTCGGTTTCTTGTTTTATTAGGATGTTTTTGAAAATATAATACAGGAATCAAAAACAAAAATGAAAGCACAATATTGTGAAACAATGGATGGGGTAAGTGCCTCATGATTTAGGACTATTAATTTATATAGCCATAGGTATCTCTGTCTCTGCAAATCTTATACTATTACTTTCGAAATGTTATTTGATGTCAGTAATAAATCACTTTTTTCTGTTCCTGTTAATATTATTGCATTTTTGGCAGCAATATTCTCAATAATTCGTTCCTAATGACAGCCATTTATCTTGTGTCTGTATTATATTCACCCTGACCCTGGAATCGTTTTTCACAGATACTCCATGAGGATTATTGTGACCCCCAAGATCTCCAGAATATACATGAAGAAATAACACAAAGACTGGAAATAAACTTAAAAGAAGAAATACAAGAAATAGATAGTGGAGATCGGGCCGATGTGCTGAATCAGTGTCTAGAAGAACTAGGCAAAGAGTTTGAGGTGTTCAAAAAAAGAAACCAGAAGCGTTCCCAACAGAAACCCAAATTAGATTGGAACACCATTAAGGAAAAATTCAAGATGGCACTGAAAATTGTTGTTGCCGCATTGCCGATCATAAAAAAACTTTGGACAGTCATAAAGCCAGTGACAAAAGTTGTTCCGGCCATAGCTGTACTCGAGGCATCAATGGCAGCACTGACAATATCGTTACCTTCACTGGCAATAGGAGCTACTATTGGTGTCGTAGGTGCTCTCACCGCTTATTGTGTGTATAAATATTATGATCAAGAAAAGAAATCAATAAATTGAATACGACACTGGCAGATTTTATCAAGACTACATTATAAAATGACTTAAAAAAAAAAGAAAAAAGTGAATAAACGTATTTTTTCGTAGAAGATAAAAGCGAATGGACCGGTGATTCTAGCTAAGCAAACGAATTGAATCTGATAACCTTTAAGTTTCCTAAATCATGTCCGATCATCTCTGTGCTCGATTTATATAAACCAACTCAACTATAATCAAATACAGGATCCTATTGCGTAAAATGAGTGAGCTTAAACAACTGATTTTGCTGGACAATAGTTACCTATATTTACCGTTAAATCAAAATTGTGTATCTTCTTACTTGGATCATTTTAGTTCACTCGTTATTCTGTGTTTGGTATTTTAAAATGCATTCATTTTAAGCAATATTATTCGAGTTCGAGGTGTATTGAATGGATAAAATTTTTACATCAATCCGGGTTAGAGGAAAGCCTGTATCAACTAAATAGCTGAACAAACGACCCTTTCTCTCGAAATCTGTTGTCCACATCAATACCTAGGCCTCAAGGCGTTTCTTGTACAACGCTATCTATCCATTTGCCAACTGACTTTGATTTTTTGTTTATTGTGGCATGTAGTAATGGCCATATTGTAGTTGTGTCGTCGAAATCAAATTTCCTAAGTTGACCGCAAGAATCAAAATTTGGGGAAAAATCTTAATCCTAATAGTACAAAAAGCGAAAAAAATGTAAATAAACTGACAATCAAATTGCTGTTTGATTGATCTAGCTAGATTCTAGAATCATGTAGCGTTGTTATGTTATTCTTAGCCCATCAACACTTTCTGAGTAGGTCAAATTCACATACAGTCTTTACGTAAAATTGTCGAATAAAACCACTGAATGCTACTTTGTCCACTATTTTTGCGCTGCAAAAACTAATATTCAGTAATCGCACTTTCTTCTCTAACCCGCCGTAATTCGTAGGTGTCGCAAATTCTTTGAATCGTTTTGCAGGTTGATTTTTGAATTATCGAATGGTATGGAAATGTAATATATGAGACACACGGCGGAAAAAGTCTCCCGACACTTTCCTTGCGCAAATTATTGCCGCCCAAGACATATCTGGTTTCCCGATATTTTCTCTACCTGAATTTCCGGCGAAAATCAATGAGCCGCAATCTCCTAATATTTGATGGCATGATATTACCCCCAAGAACTAAAATGATTTTTTGGGAGAATAAACAGTCAAAAAGTGCTCTTTCTATAAATACCATTGACCTGTATCTACTGATTTAGTAGTCATTACAAATTTGGATTCGACCCTCATCATGGAAAATATTTCGCTTGATACATTATAATGATTGTTGCACATCATCGAACTTACCTTACAATCCATAACTACAATTTTGAATGGGTTTAGCATATAGTGTTGTTTGACAATCATTGTTTCATAAATTAGGTATGAATCAGATATTTGCGGAGAGGAAACTAATGCCACATCAAACTTGACTTCTTTGGGAGTTAGTATGCAAATAGGCTTTAAAATAATCCTCTACCACGTCCGAAAAGATTTATTTTCGGTCAATATTTAGTAGCATATATTACTATTTTCTGAAGACTTGCCACGCATAACGTAGTAAACTTATGCGTGGCAAGTCTTCAGAAAATGGGAATATATATTACTAAATATTTACTGAAAAAATCATTTCGGACGTTGCAGATGATTATTTCAAAGATGATTATTTTCAATATTAACTCCCCAAAGAAGTCAAGTTTAGTTGATAATTTTCTGAAAAGTATTTTTATACTCTATCCAACTTTAGTAAACTTATGCGTGGCAAGTCTTCAGGAAATAGAAAAATATATTACTAAATATTTAACGAAAATAAATCATTTTGGACCTAGCATAGAATTATTTCATAGCTAATTTGCATATTGACTCCCCAAAGAAGTCAAGTTTATTTTATCATTTTCTGAAAGGTATTTCCATATACTTCCATATATCGACCAAAAATGAGTCATTTTAGATGTAGCAGAGAGCAAATTTGACAATTCGAAGATAATTTGCATATTAACTCCCCACAAAAGTCAAGTTTTTTTTATTATTTTCGGAAAGATATTTTTTTATTTTGTTAAACTATATTAAATTTACGCGTGGCAAGTCTCAAGAAAATAGTAATTATTTCTTTGTGAATAACGGAGGCACGAAATGTGATATTGCTGTTCAATTCACCAATTCCACGATCCACTATCTATATGTCTTCTATAATCTATATTGTACTTGCTTCGTGTACTTTTTCATTCACCTAATAGCAATGTACAGTTTTAAAAATAGTTATCATTGTCAATTTCCATCAGAAATCCAAGTTTCTGCTAGTGGGTATTCACCGACCTCTAGTGTTTACGGATATTTATTCGTCTGTTGGTGCAAAAAGTTACTCTAGCCCACAATTTCAGTTTCGAGGTTTGGAGGCTTTTTTCAGTTCAGGTATTATTGTATCGCAAAGTTTCTATTACAACTTTGCTTCAGAATGAATAAAAAAGGGAAAAAGTTACCGTGGAAATAAGTAGGGCATTTAGAAACAGTTGAATTTTGTTGTAGAGCAGGGTTACCGTAGCCCACAATTTTGGTTACCCTAGCTCACAATTTCGGTTACCCCAGCCCACAATTCTGGTTATGCCAACCGAAATTTCTGTTTCTGTTTAGCGGTCGGCACATTTGATTGTGGCAATTGGTTTTGATGTAAAAGAACATGTTATTAGTCCCGTAACTAAATTCATTGGGTTAACCTTGCTTAAAATACCGTAATCGCTGTAAATATATGTATGATTGATTAACCCTCTGATCACCATGTAATTGTGGGCTGACAAATTGTAGGCTAGAGTAACCTTGGTGACCCCTGCCCTAGTGCATATTCACAGACAGACAATCGCCGCTGCGGAACCCAAGTGTCGACGTTAGGGAAAGACCAGGGGCCCCATTCACAAAGCTTCGTTACCGCTTATTAAGCACCGACTTTCTCGTGAAAAGCAAAAATGGTATTCACAGAGCTTCGTAAATATTCGAGAGAATATTTTTGGCGCCAAATGAGACGTTCTCACATTTTACCGAGAATCGGTTCTTTACGCGCTGAAGAGCTCGCTAGCTAACGGGCACAATCTTCGCCTCGTTAACAGCTCGGATTACTCTCAGCAGTGATTCAAATAGGCACGTTCAGACGTTAGCATACTTTGTAAAAATTGGCATAGTATCAAAAGGCCTTACTCGGGTATGCGTGTATGTAGCCTAGTGCCGTTAACTTAGCTGTGGGATATCTACCGCATTTACAGATTAAACACCCCTTATGATTAGGCTTACCATAAATCTGAAACAAAAAACCGGGACGGTGCGATTTGGCAAACATTTGGTTGATTGCCAGTCTTTGTAATATTGAAACGTCTACCAAGCCATTGTGGGTATATACGGCTCTAAATCTCTATACTGATCATTGAATTAGAAAAAACACAAAAAAATAGTTTGTATTATTTATTTAGACCAAAAGTATTTGTTCGCAGATGGAACCCTTCTCAAAAATTCTTGTTTTGATTTTGTCATAAAACTGATAACAAGAGACATCACCATTAAATTTGCAGGTTACGAGTGCTTTTATATTTTCTTCTGGCATTCTGAACCTGCTTCCAGACCAGAAAGTTTTAACAATGGAGAAAAAATCTGTTCAACAGATGCCGATGTTCCGGCAAACAAAATCAACGAGTTTCTGCAAATTCGAAATGCTAATATTTCTGTTAGAAAAAACGTTAAACATCTCTGTCCACTTAAATTCAACCGCAAAGTAAGCCAAATTGCATTTGAACCATGCTCAGATAAATATCTCCTTATCAGTATTCGTCGAAAAGTGCATCTCTATTCAAAACCTGACTAGCTAACCGAACATATCATTTATCAATTTTGCATACCAAACACTTTAGTCCAGTTTAAATCACCCATAATTTGTCCATATGTGGGGCCTGGGGAGCATTTTAGGCTTCATCATGCAGCTCTATATACCGCAAACATTCTTTTTAAATACAGTTACATCGATTTCGCCAGAGCGTTCCAAGGATTCCAGAAGTACAAGTGATTGCGACGGAATTAACAGTCTTCACCCTTTTTCCTTCAAATTTAGCTTCACCTCTGACATCTACGGCAGGGCTTGGCAACCTTTTGTCGCTCGCGGGACAAAATTAAGGGCTGCGAGTCATTGGCGGGCCGTACATATTTTTAGAAAGCTGAAACCGAACGAATGATACTTTTTATAATAAAAATCAAGCAGTAATACATCTTTCGAATAGAATATAGATTTATTTCCTCATTGCATCGCAAAAAATTGCATTTGAATATTTTCAGCGCCATTGAACCCTTTGCACTTCGCATCATTTTTCTGCGTTTTGTTGCCATTTGTCTAATTATAATTAAATTATAGGCTCATTAAACGAGTAGTTGTGAATTATATACTTGTTAGGTTATAATATAATTTAGTTTAAAAAATATAATCGTCAAAACGGCTGTTTTGTTACTATAATTTAGTGAAGCGTCACGAGCCGGATTATAATATTCTGCGGGCCGGATCCGACCCTGGAACCGTAAGTTGCCGACCCCTGATCTACGGCATTAGTATTATCTTTTTTCAAAATTAAAATAATTTTGTTGAAGTAGGTGAGCTGGCAAAGGACAAATTTCAAGTGAAGTTCGTACGCTGGAACATTTAAGCATAAGAGTAGGACATCCTTCTTGAGAATCTGAATAACTTATCAAGCTTTCAAACAGTTCCGTAATTCTTTGCAAAGCAGGTAATAAAGGGAAAACCCGAGTGTTGCCATGCTGTAATAGCCGTTGATACTATCAACAAAATCGCAGAATGATTTCTCCTCTGTTACTCGGACAGTGTATATGTAATAATATTTATACATTTTGACAACAACACAAACAGGCAAAGTATCTACGACATGTTGAAAATGGCATCGCAGTGCACAGTTGAACTACATGGTATGCACAATCTATACCGGTTATATTTCTTTTAGTTTGAAAAAGGCATTATTTGTTTTTCGTCTTTTTACGCCTCCAAAGTTGATGTTGCAATTATCCGCACAGAATCCAACAACTTTTCCGAGAAAAGAGAGCAAGTATTCAGTAAAAGTTTTGGCGGTTTCCCTGGGTAAAGATTTGAATTCTAATAGTTTTATCTTCACACCAACATCAGGTAAAAAAATAACGAACCACAACTGGAACAAGCTTTAAATTCTTTCTGTTTGATGCATCGAAGGTTACTGATACGAAACTGGTTTAAAGTAAATCATCATTAGGTTCAGAGGAGAACAGCGGAGCAATTCAATTAAAAATCACCGACTCTCATTTATTTCTGGCTAAACGTGCAAAATCAGCGAATCCGCTTATCAGACAGCGGACATCAGAAATTCTAACTGTGTATATTTACAAGTTAATGCAAATTTAGGCTAAAAAAATCAAAATTAATTCAGAGGTGCAGTCAAAACTTTGTGTGATAAGCAAATGTCGGCTGCCAACGACAAACAATCATCCGAATTTGTTATCGGAAAAAATTGGTCAGTCGAGTCGATGCCTCAATTAATGTTTTGTGCTTCCTGCTTTGGATAAGATCGTTGACATCAGAACGACCATCTTATTTTTGACTAATAGAAAAACAGATCTGCAATGCGTACAGTGACCTTTCCTTCTTCAGTTTGCGCAAAATAAGGAAAATCTCCTTTCAACTCATTAGAAAATTTGTACTTTTTCTTATGGCATTTCGACAACTTAACGGCATTGTAGTTAACGCCAGAAAACGCATTAAAACATATACCGATTGTGACATAACAATAGAGCAATTTTTTACTCTCTGAATTAGCGAAGTGTGTCGCAAAACAGTGGTAAATGGGCTGCCACCGTTAAAAAATTGTAACAATAAGGAATATGGATTTTTCACCCATGACAGCCGTGCTGACAAACCGGGACATTTGAGTCGACCGGCCGGGACGCCGGGACAGCTCGTCAAAACCGGGACTGTCCCGGCTAAACCGGGACGTATGGTAAGCCTACTTATGATAAGCATACACCCCTTATGATAAGCATAAAATGCAATAAATCGAATAGGTATAATATGGTCATTCATACAGACAGTTGTGGAGAAGGGTGGATTAGGCAACATGGGTAATGGTGGAGTATGCCCAACTATTTGTACAACGAAGTTGGTAGGACAAAACAACATCAATAAATAGAGACAATACAACAGGAAATATAATACATATTAATAAAATTTGGACCCTCGAGTAATGATACCACATACTATAAATGGGAAAAATAGTCAAGTTTATAGGAGTATGTGCATATATGGTATGTACCACTCAAGGGTGAGTGTCTTAAGTAATATATGGCTAATCTAGCAAAAATGCGTTCCTTCCAGGCTTGGGGAAATGCAATGTAATAGGTTCTGTCAAGTTATTCGCTTTTTCAAGGTACTTTGTATTTTATAGTTCTGAATACCGCTAAAAAAGATCAGGATTCAAAAAAAGGATATTAAGGTTGCATTTCCATAAAATCTATCATGATCGCATTTCAGCCAGACAATTCAAAGGTTTAAAAGTATATTGAAATAGAGAACAATAAAATATAAAGAGTATCATTTTGCCATGTCGTGAAATTTCCAAATTGAATTAAAATAATAATAAAATATGGTATCCTGTGATGAAGAAAGGGTTAGGATTGTTCGATTTAGTGCTGATAATAAAATAAGAACAATAATATAATTAAAATATGATATCCTAGAATAAAGAAAGGAATGAGATTGTTTAATTTGGTGCTGGGCGAGAATAATGGAATGAAGTTAAATAAAGCAGCATGATACTTTAACAGTGATCATCATCCCTATTGTTTGCTTCATTTATATCTTGTTTCTTTGTCTGATTATTTAAGCATGGTGATGAAATTAGAATGGTGTGCTAGTTATTGAATCAGTCCATTGTTTCATGTTGAATCCGGGTGAAGTATCCTGTGGAGTTATTGAAATTGCCATCTGTTCTATGGCGACTGAAGATTTCGCCATAGAACAGATGTCTGTTACACAAGTAGTTCACAATACAGCAATATGTAATTTGTTTTGTGGCAATAAATCTCTCTCTCTCTGTAACTTCAGCATTTATTCCATGTAGCCTATCCGTCAGTCTATAGATTACACCACTGCTATATGAACAAAATTTCAAAACGCAAGCTGCAAAGGTGAAGCAGAAAAAGCCGATAGGTTACCGCGAAGGCGATACACGCTCGACCGTAAGCAGCGACAACTGATACGGCTGAGTGATCAGTCAGTGAATTTTGTTCAACCGCGACCGTGCGTAAGATTTCGAGAGAACGCTAGTGACCGTGCGTCAGATGCTTACGAGGTCTTTGGTGAATCGCATTTAACCTGGGGCGCCATTCGCTAAACTTCGTGAAAAGCCGGGTTTACGATCTCGTAACTGTGTCTCTCAGAATCGTGATAGCGAAATCTCGTTAAACGCGATTCACCAAAGACCTCGTAAGCACTTGACGCACGGTCACCAGCATTCTCTCGAAATCTTACGCACGGTCGCAGTTGAACAAAATGCACTGACTGATCACTCAGCCGTATCAGTTGTCGCCGCTTACGGTCGAGCGTCTTTCGCCTTCGCGGTAACCTATCGGCTTTCTCTGCTTCACCTTTGCAGCCTGCGTTTTGAAATTTTGTTCATATAGCAGTGGCGTAATCTATAGACTGACGGATAGGCTACATGGAATAAATGCTGAAGTTACACAGAGAGAGATTTATTGCCACAAAACAAATTACATATTGTGAACTATTTGTGTAACAGACAATAGAATCAGTGAGTTGCCAAAGCTTGTTAAGATTCCATATTTTTAATTTTTCATTGAGTCTATAGTCCTCTATTAAGGTCCTTTCATTTGCATCTAGCTAATTTTTTTCTTTCGGATACGACATGGAGAGATTGTTGGACTTTTCTTCTGCAAGCTTCAATATAGGTAGCCATTTGTGAATCTGTGTTCATAATACTGTAGGCCAGTGCTAGAATAAACAAAAAACAATGACTTCAACAACTGAACAATCTCTGAATCTCAACCCTAGTTTAATCTGTAAATGCGGCAGATATTCCACAGCTAAGTTAACGGCACTAGACTACATACACGCTTACCTGAGTAAGGCCCCTTGATACTATGCCAATTTTTACAAAGTATGCTAACGTCCCAACGAGCCTATTTTAATTTGAATCACTGCTGAGAGCAATCCGAACTGTTAACGAGGCGAAGATTGTTCTCGTTAGCTAGCGAGCTCTTCAGCGGTTAAAGAACTTTCGTGAATACCGATTCTCGATAAAATGTGAGAAGAAGGCACTTTACGAGACGTCTCATTTGGCGCCAAAAAAACTCTCTCGAATAATTTCTCTCGAATATTTACGAAGCTCTGTGAATACCATTTTTGCTTTTCACGAGAAAGTCGGTGCTTAACTAACACGTTAAGCGGTAACGAAGCTTTGTGAATGGGGCCCCTGATTTCGCTATCACGATTCTGAGAGACACAGTTACCAGATCGTAAACCCGGCTTTTTACGAAGTTTAGCGAATGGCGCCCCAGATTTCGCAGAGAGACAAGGTGGAAAGAATGCCGCGTGCTCAGTAACCGCGCTGTTACTGCAATGTTAGGGAGGTGTAGCGCTTTGACCGAATGGGAAAGTGATCTACGGATATGACATGAGAGCCATTTTTAAATGCAAATTAATTGAGATGATGAGATTAATAAACAATGAGGAAAGAAATGAATTGCTCGAAAATGATCATTTGGACTATATAATTAATAAATCGATTATGTTCATGTTGTGACACCCATTGTTCCCATTTGTGTTCAGTTTCAATATTGGAAATAATTTAAACAAGTCACTTACATAGACAGCGAATGTAGATAATACCCAGGGCATGATAGGTAATTTTTCTGATTATTTGTCTAATCCTTCAAAATCCTTTCATATAAAATGCTAATGATGGATAAATTGATAATATGTATTGTATGATATGACTGATGGTAATAGAAAAATGTATTGAAATGGACACTGGATTACTTGGATCACTAACATGGATGCAAATTAAATTGGATATAATGGAATTAAATGGGTAGATGTATCTGAATTCTCAAATATGTCATTTTCATTTTGTATTGTATAAGGTACTTGCACACTTTATGATATCACAGTATCACCTAAATTACCTGGAGAATCTGAAAATTGGGCTTCATGTAAATTGAAATAATTTATTTGATTAAATCGAAACTATAATATTCATAAATCCCAATTGGTAATAGATTTAAATTTGGCAAAAAAAAATAGATCTACATATATAGACGTTTAGGTTAACATTCGGTCCGTAGTATAACTTATACCAGTGGTTCCCAAACGTAGTATAACGAGTTTTTTTTAATATTTGGTGACATTTTCGTCAATCACAAATAATCTCAAATTGCCTCGTTTACTGATGAAAAAGACGATTTCGTTGTTTTGATAGCAATGGTGTCACGGCTGAAACCCCTTTTTCCACCATATACTGATATAAGAGGTCGGGTATGAAAGAAACCAGGGTTCTACCTCCTTGAAAATCGCTGGACCTTGCCTGATTACCTGCACTAAAATACATCAGAATTTGATACATGGTTAGCTATCAGGCTTTGGTCACATACAAAACATATGGAGTGTATACTACTGTACTATAAGATATAGACCATCCTTAAACAAAGAAGGGTTAAGCTCTTTTTTCTGTTTTAGTGAGTACGTTGCCTTGCCTCAAAAGAGATAATATTGAATGTTTGAAAGGATCTGGTGCTGGTACTGTATTAGCTGATTAGTGTGCTGAGAACAGAGAGTCATTGCGGACGCAGTAAAGAAATCTCTCTGTTACGTGAATAAAGCTGCCTTGATTACCAAATGTCTTGTGAGGATTTACATATTTTAGAAAGCGAAGATGACCTTTGGCACATACAGAGTGACGAATTTGTTCCATCTAGTGACTCTGATAATGACAATCTAGCAGAGTCAGACCTGTCAGACGAGGATGAGGAACTAGAGTCAGAAGACCTGGAGTACAGTGAAGATGAAGGTTCGTAATAATTTTATCATTGCACTTTTATTTCACCAATTTCAAGGCCTAATTCAGTAGTTCATTTCTCAATTCTTGAAAGTGGGTTTGTACAAAAATATTTTTGGTGTTTTAATAATTATTGTAAAGATTTTTGGCTTTCACTTCACTTACATGAAGTTGGCTTAGAATACGATTTATGCTATTATCCCTGGGTAGAGGAAAGCCAGTGAGGCTGCTCAATAATATGGTGTAACATGGCTTCTCGTATGGCTACCGGTCCATGTTGTGTATGGAATTAGTTAGCCAGTTATATGTGACATAAAACACGAACCTAATTTTATAGGTGTGAAATTTGAAAGTCCAGCTGAAATTGACTGTGAAGTAGTATGGTTCTGTTATGGTGTAATGATAACTAATCATGCACTAATAGCTTTTGATTAGCTTAAAAGCATTTAGTATGCTGTGTGTTCGTGTTTTGATTATTCTGCATTCTGAAATAGGTGCAGTTGATATAAACACATGCCAGTGTTTTCAACTTAATCTTATTGCAATATTGAAAACGACAGAACTTTTACATACTGCATCATTCTACTGAATATCTAGTGGCCACATTATTTCAAATAATGATCCTCATTGCAAGGATATTTATAAAATAACGTCTTCTGAGTATATTTTGCATAATATCAATGATCATATTATAAATGATTATTTTTAGTATTTTCAAAGTCCAGTCGCATCATGTTGTTCCATTGCCAATTTTTTTTTATTTTAGATAAAATACCGGTACTCATATAGTATTTGAACCAAGGTGACGGACACCGGAATGTAGTATATGTACAGGTTAGGGTTGGCCAAAGTGACTATAAACCAAGTGGAGACACAGAGTGCAATGATGCATATCGGACGTCATTTTGTGTCCAGCGAATCGGGGGAACGCGACAGCGTCGGTTTATTTTAGCTTCGTCAGGAGGTCTCGTTCGTCAATTTGTTTGAAGATTTTTCACTGTTTTGCATTTTATTCGAGTAATTTCATTATTTTTCTTTTGCTATTTGCCTCGTGGAATCATACTGGTATCGTGCGGTTTCGTGAAAGTTGTGATAGTTATCTTATCATTCCGTGTGAATTATGCAACTTTGAAACCTCATATCTCATGAACCTTATATTATATGCAGTTAAGTTTTATATTGTTTGAAAGACAATCTAGGAGAATAATTATAATTATGAGATGGAGATAAAATGTCGCGATTATCATACAAAAATCGGCAAAATTGAAAAGCGTTCGATTTGCTTGTTTATAGTCACTTTGGGGTTGGCAATAATTCCAGGTACAAATACTACGGGAGTCACTCGGCTAATCCCCGAACTCCTAATTAATCGAACTAAAATAAGGAAAATTGGAATAAAATTATGTCATAACCTATATTTGGTACACATACTACGTACCGGTTCCGCCATCTTGGTTCACATACTACGGGAGCGCCAAAATATCTCATAAGCACTGCAAGAAAAGTTGACAGAAGTTCAATGAAAATTTAAAATCATGTCATGTTTTCACTATAATTAAGGTGGTCTTCTGGTGCACATATATCGTTGTGGTTTCTAAAGCCCAGCAACATCACTTTCTGGCAAGGAAGGGGAGCAAATTTTATCATTTAAAAATATCTCATTCATCGCTTTAAATTTTGATTGTTCCTCCTTATGTTTATCATTTTTAATAAAAGGTTTTGTTAGGTTATATTCTTTCTAGGTAATGTCCAATAAATTTTAACAATAACCTATAACCCTAACCATTTCAGATTTTTTTTTTAATTTATGCCAATACCGCGTGCAATAGACCTTATTCATTAAAAACGCATCCTAAGCGCAAAAAAAAAAAGTGATGTAAACTCTTATGGGAAATGTGATCACCAGAGCAGAAATTTGCATTTTTTGTAATTTTCTAGACGTAATTTTCTTTCTTCTGACGTCATTCTCACTAGACCATGAGATTCTGCCAACGCGCCGTGCTCTGTGGGATATGCGCTGCAAATGCGGCCCTAATGTCGCTTTGGGTCTGTGTCCGTCCGGTACTGGAAGCGTTTAACATTGACAATCTATAGCCCGTACCATTTCTATCACGTTTGTTTACTGGTTTTACGCATTTATACCTGTACAGCTAGCAATCATTTACTGAAGGCATGCTGACGTGTTATTTAAACTACCGCTACCGTACCAAAGCTGCAAGAGGTGAAAACTAAATTATTTAGTAAATACTGAAATAGGCCTACGAACAAAAATGTTGGCCATCATGCCAATAGGCAGGACAAGTTGTACGGTACCGGTATACAAAAAAGATGAATATCTCCAACCTATAATGGTACAATACCGGTCTCGTAACTAGAATAAAAAACATGACTGAATACGAGAGGGAGATTTATTTTGTCAACCAGAATACAAGCATTGAATCAATAAGAATCATAATATACAAAACACACAGTTATTCGGTATAGACTGGGGAGCGATACGACCATCACAGTCAGCTCCCCTCTGCCCCCCATGTTTGCTATCAAGATTAACAGTTAATTAAGATGTTTTAACAAAAACTCCTCGGAGGAAGGGTTGACTAAATGACTATGTTACGGAATATTTTTGAATTCGGTTAAAAATGTAGTCCATTATTAAACACTGCTTTTTTTGTAGATTTTCACTTAATGAACACTTAGCAAGTAGGACAGTTAATTTATAAAAAAAATTGTAAATTAATAACAAATCAGTAGAAGTCAGCTCGGGTATTCAAACATGTGATGATTGAAGTGAGAAAAAAATTTGAAGTCACGTTTAGGATATTACATTAAACAACAATGGAAAAGGTACATTGGAATCAGTCAAGCTTCAAATGCTAATGGCATTAATGAAAAGAATATGCGAAATGAAGACTGAAGTTTCCATCTGAGACATTGGAAGACGCTAAAACCTTATAGATTTGATAGTGTGGAAAGCCTTCTCACAATGCAGTAATAATGGGACATAATATTTATAATATCATTATACAGGCTTTAAGTTGAACTATATGTTTAATTAAAATATCTATCTTTGCTAATAAATGCTGAAAACCATTTATTTCACTCTGCTGAGTGATTAGGGCCAGAAATTTGCTGTAGGGACCATCACCAGGGCTGGATTTACCAATAGGCTAGGCAGGCTGAAACCTAGAGCCTCGAAATTCGGTTTCAAAGTTTGTAATTCTTTTGTAAACTTGACAAGTTTAAACCCTACAAAAAGTATATATATATATAAAGCTTTTCAGAGTAGAAAATTCTGTATACAACAAGTTTCAACCACATTGTAAACGGCCATTATTGCGTCGTTTGCATCATAATAAGGGAAATTATTATTATGCGCATTCTGCTGGAAGTTTCTATGTTAAAGTATGGCTGTAAGCGGTTGTTTGATCAAAGAAATTGAAAGCAAAACTGCCTCAAGGAAATTATCATTCTTTTAATTAAAAATTCACACCCATGAATGGGGAGAATGAAAAGTTTAATGCTTTCATATTTTTAAATTTTAAGCAATTAAATGTGGTGTTGTTTAGAGAGAAATTCTGAGCTCAAAAATATGAAGGGGCCTCTCATGGTCTAAACTAAATCCAGCCCTGAACATCACCAATTTTGGCGGTATTCCAGTATTCTGTTATCACAAGCAGTTAGAGCACATATCCCACAGAGCACGGCGCGTTGGCAGAATCTCATGCTCTAGTGAGAATGACGTCATCGGAAACACCGCGCTCATTAAAATTTCAATGAACGATTATTGAAAATCTTGACCATGTTTATCATAATAAAAATATCAAAAAAGATGCAAAAAATGTTCTATCCTCAAAACTGCTCACGTATACAATGAAAGATATCTAGAAAATTACATAAAATGCAAATTTTTGCTCTGGTGATCGCATTCCCCATAAGAGCTAATGTTAAAAAATATTTTTTTACATCACTTTTTTTTTTGCGCGTAGGATGGGTTTTTAATGAATAAGGTCTATTGCATTTTGCTGAAATCGCCGATTATTTGTGTCAGCGTGATGTGTTATTCAAGCATCATGCGCCCTTACGTCGGTGTATATTCTCTCTAAATCACAAATTTTCCACAAGTTTGTGCCACGATAACAATGATAATTACTTTATTTTTGTACCTTCATCGGCGGCGAGGTGCTAAAGAAGAAGTGATACCGCGACGCAAATTTTTTATTGAAAAGCGGCAATTTAAAATACTGAAAATGAAACAGTAAGCAATATCGGTTTTGTTGTAGGAGGTCCGCTTCAGTCTAAAAACGCTTCTCTACGCATTAGAAATCGCAAAGTATATTCAATCAATTTTTGTTGTACTGAAATAAATTTTACTCCATAAGATTTTACAGCAAATTTACGGATTTTTCGAATTGTTTTATCTTTTAAATAATCTGAGTAATGATCGCAGCATTGCAATCGACTTATCGGTCATGGATTGATTACTTTGCGCAACGGAAAAATTATTATTTGTTAAAAAAGTCGGCTCTTTCAACAAATGGCGTAATCGCCGCCACTGTTCCGCGTGTATTTCGAGACGATGAATATGTATTTTTGGTTTACTGCTAAACTTTATATGTATTTTCACTGTATGAAATAAAGTTGTACTCCACCAGATTTTATATCAGATCTTGAGAAGGACGATAACGACTTCGCAAGATTGCAAAAATACGTATCAAAAATAAATACATTAGGCATATTTTTATGTCCACAGATCACCGTGGTATTTTAGATTAGTAATGTTTTGTAAGAAGACTCAAGTTGCGTTGAACAATGGGCACAATCAAATTTATATATAAGGAGTGAGGACCTTTTAGTAGCTCGTTGTTTTCATGGATTGAATATTTCACAACACAAAAAAATTAGTATAGGCTGAAAAAGGCGGCTCTTTTAACAAGCGCGTAATCACGGCGCCTGTTTCAGTCGGGAATGAGACTTCCTGATTTCGACCTCCTTGCTGCGCGCATGCAAATACCACCTGTTTCCCAGAAAACACGGGCTTCAACGGACAAATTTCATTCCAAAATTACTTTTATATTTGAATTAGTTTCTTTTTTTTTCAATTTTTCTGTTATCCCAACTTTTAAGAGATATATGCCTATATATTTTTCCAGTAGCGACAAGTACACCATCGGGATGTCCACGAATTCAAAACCATCGAGAACAAGAAGAATGGGAAACACCGCCCAGCGCCAAAAAAGGCCGCCACTCACTTTTATCTAGTAAGCGTCCTGTTTACAACTGGACAAAATCTTTTAAGGGAAGATCCATCGAGCAATTCGGCGGTCAACGAGGAGTAACCACCCGCCAGCTAACTCAGACGTCTACTCCCATTGACTGTTTTTTACATTTTTTCAACTCCACTGTACTTCAGTTCATCGCCGACATGACAAATCTCAACGCTGTCCGAAAAATACACGGTGAGGACCTTCAATGGATACAACTTGTTGAAAAAACTAATAGATATATCTGTCGGTAGATAATTTTTCGTGATGTAATTTGATAGTCTATACAAGTTGCGGGTCGGTAAGGCATGACCAAATGTTTGGCGGACCCTCTTTATGCAAATGGTCTAGGCTTATGTAATAAATTATACACTTTAGAATATTAATGTTGACAATGTATTGAAAAACAAACGTGATGCTATTCAATGCGAGATCTAAATTTGTTTGCTGGCCATTAACTGTTTCTTACTCGGGAATATGGTCGACAGTGATACAATTGCGTTTTTTTGCACAGCTTACTTCGGTACTTCGTTTTTGTAGTTGTCAATATTGAAAAATCGGTCTCACATAAAGGAAAAGTTAACAATGCCTGTAAATCTGCTTTTTTGCTATGCTTGGTATTCATCTATGAATATTGACCAAAAGACTGCCCAGGTAGATATCGCAAAGACACTTTTCAACTCATTATCATTTGAAGTTTCAATCAAATACTCCATATAAGACAATCTCACCTCTCGAATAAATTTCGAAGGCTTCATTCTGTCATTGCATGATTCGAGTGCTTCGTATGAAAAAGTACGCAAATTGGAAGAACTTCGTTGTTCTCACTCACTTCAACTCCTTTTGCAAATGCAATGGACTTGCTCTTGAAATTTTTTTTTGTTTTGCGGATGATGTTCCCAGTATATCCACATTCTACATTATAAGTTTCGTTAAATATCGCAGCTCAGTTATTTAGGAAATGCATCTTTGATGTTTTTTTAGCCATAACCAATTTTATTATAAGGTGTACTAACTTTATGTATATCACGAAGTATAGGTTTAGCATAGTCTAAATAGTCGCGTTCATTTTGTTTTCCGAAATCTTATTCGGACCGAGTCGAGACTTCTCTATCCAGACGCAGAGAACGCAATTGACGCAGCATTATTGCGACATATTGACGTGGGAATTGTTTGTGAAGTCAGACATCGTCAGATGCTCTGGGTTTTGCTGTAGGGTGTGGTATTTTATTCGTATGGTTTGTGGTTGTTGAAATGTAGAGGTGATATTAGGGCTTTATTCGTTTTTGTGTCACCTTTCTGCGGACCGGAAGTAATTCTTTCGTGGACCGGCGATAGGCCGGCCGCGACGCGGTAGTTGCCTACCACTGGTCAATACCGAATAGGCATTTAAAAATTAATTCATTCACACTTTGTTTTTTCTTTCCTTAGGGCAGTCTGTTGACAAAAATTGTGAAGGAAGAGAATGGAAAGCTGTCGATGTGGAGGAAATGAAAGCTTTCATTGGTTTGCTTATTGCAATGGGGATAATTCATCTTCCAAATCTTCATATGTATTGGCAAAGGAAGAATTGGGTATTCGATGTGCCCAGTTTCAACAAAATTATGCCAAGAGACCGATTCATTGATTTGTATGGATATCTTCATTTTTGTGACGAAGCTTTGGTGCGTACATCCGATGATCGGAAAAATGACAAATTGTTCAAAATTCGTGGATTATTGTCGCATGTATTGCCCTTGTTTGAAAGCTGCTACACGCCAGGCAGAGACATTGCAATTGACGAAACTTTAATACCATTCAAGGGCAAAATTAGTTTTCGTCAATTCATTAAAAGAAAAAGGGCGCGGTATGGAATCAAGGTTTGGGTGTTGGCCGAATCTTTAACAGGATATGTGTCAAGGCTTCAAATTTATACCGGCAAGGATCCGACAGCTGGCCCAGAAACAGGACTGGCCAAGCGGGTGGTAAAGTATTTGATCAATCCGTATGAGGGATTGCATCATCATCTGTATGTCGATAATTTTTATACTAGCGCGGAACTCTTTGAATACCTTCTTTCAAAAGGTGTTTACGCTTGTGGAACTTCCAAAGGTAATGCTGCGAGCTTTCCAAAGGAGCTCATTGTGAAGCAGGCGAGAGCAATACCCAGAGGCACAAGCGACTGGCGCATGTCTGGACAATTACTTGCACAATCATGGGTCGATAATAGAATGGTCTATTATTTGTCCACGATACATAAGCCAGAATATGATTTGAACGATGACGGGGAAAAGACTGTGAAAAGGAAGGGAAGTCGTCGTGCATCTAGTTTTGTTGAAATACCATGTCCGCCGTTACTCAAAGACTACAATAAGTACATGGGCGGTGTGGATTTGTCGAATCAAATGCGAAAGTACTATAATTTAACAAGGAAATCAAGGGTGTGGTATCGCAAAATATTTTCGTATTTACTGGAAGTAGCTGTACATAATGCCAGGGTGGTCTTTGAAAACCTTGCAGGACAGAGATGTGGCGGAGGCGAGTTTAGAATGGAGCTAGTTGTTGCTCTTATTGGAAGTCATCGAGCTTCTTTAAGGCATGGAGTTCTAACGCCTGCATCAATAACGAGACTGCACAATGTGGGATCTCACTTTCCGATATCCACCGGTTGCCTAAGGCTTTGCCCAGTTTGCGCAAAAAAGAGTCGGATATCGGCTACCATTAGAGAAGGCACGATTCCGAGAAGCTCCATAAAATGCGGCGATTGTGACGTTCATCTTTGTGTTCGCGAAAACAGGTTCTGCTTTCGTGATTGGCACACAAAGGTTGAGTATTGGAGATGAGGTTTGAGATATATTAGGAGACTATACGCAGTGTTCCACCTTTCCATCCGAAATGAACAATTAACAAATCTAGAAAAAACAAAATTGGGGATTTTGTTCACTCACGCGTTCAGTATTGCCGGGCGGTGGAAAAAAATGTTCGAAGGCACTTACATTTGCAGAAGTACTTTTTCCGTTATGAATAGTTTGGAAAAAATACACTAAATGTAGATATAAAGAACTTCTGCAGATTTTAGTAAGGTTTTTGCATGTTTTAGCTTGATAAATGACGAATACCAATTCATGTATTTGCACAATAATTTTTTTTTGTATTGCACTGTTTATCTATTCTTGGGGCACTATTGTGGCCCGCGAACTATGCGAAAATAATTTTTGGCCTCCAATGCCGACAACCTTGGACCACCATGTTCTAGAACAGGGGTGAGCAATTACTTTTCCTGAGTGGGCCGGATGCGGATAACAGAATTGGTTACTGGGCCGGATGATCAAAATTTAGTATGATCAGAAACGGTTATTTGCAAATACATAGAGTCCTAGACACAATGATCAATGGGCCGTTATTACAGGGGCTGGCAAATTACAGCAGCGCAAAGAAAGTTGATAGATAACCACTTAACGACGACGGGGTCGTTTTCGGGACATTATTATAGTACGAACCAAGATAGCTAGAAAGAAAGCGGCGGTTGTCCCGAAATCGTCTGTACCCACTCTCTCGTTTGAGCCTATTTAGCGCCACCAAATGTTTTATATTTTGTGGTCAGCCATCTTTGTTTACATTGAAGTCGGTTGAAATGTGGTGTCTGTAGCAGTCGGATTTCGTCGTCTTTTTTTGGGTATAAAGCTTTACCCCAGAGAGTCGAAAAAAATCACAGTAAGAGGCCTTTATGTGTACTTTCATTTGGTAAAAAGAGTTTTGCCTAACAATTTGTTGTTTACTGCTGACGCCAGTTTTCCCAACTGTCACTAAATCGTCCCATCCGTCCATGTTTTCCAGTTTAAGTTGTCTTTCATAAACCAAGACACTTGAAATTGAAGAGCAGAAATAGAAACATAATCTAATATGTTTTAAGTATGTGTAACTCTGTTATCGAAATTTATATATAGTGATGTTTAAATAGTTAAAAAAATCTAAACCTGATAATATTTTGATCAAGATTTGCTTCTGATATTGACTGGCTAAAGTAATGTGCAGGAATTTCTTTAAATTGTTTAGTGGTAGATGTAATTTATTTAAATAGTGAAAAATGGATGAGGAGGAGAATTGGAGAATTCGCTTTCCACCTAGTGGGGATGTTAGCGAAGACAGTGACTGCAGCAATAGCGAAGATGAATATTTACCACCAAAAAAGATTAGAGACTATGCCTTGTTGTCAGAAAGTTCAGATGACGAAGCTGCTAGTCAGGATATACCATTGACCAGGGAGGAGAAAGTGATGAGGAAGCAAGAGGGTCAGGCGAGATGTCAGTTTCTTCCGTGGTTGAAGTCGAGGTGTGTATTGGAATCAATATCCCACGTAGGAAGCCCGTATGGAGGATTGTACAGGAAAGTGACCCAGAATCAGCACAAGAGCTGCCTGCATGGAAAGGCCGTGGGTATGAATCGGAAACAGTGCGAGCAATAGTTGCGGAAACCAATATCTATGCAAGCCAAAGCGATCCCTCCAAACAACTAAACGTTACAATTCCAGAAATGGAGAAGTTTCTTGGTTGTGTCGTTTACATGTCTATTTTTCGTCTACCGAGAACACGTATGTTTTGGGCTGTGGAAACAAAGTTAACTGCGTTGCCGATGTAATGACCCGTGATCGATGGGAAAGAATAAAAAAGATGCTCCATTTCAATAACAACAATTTACTTCATGGCGATTCTGATGTTCAACAAGATCGATTGTTCAAAATCAGACCCCCGTTAGAAATGCTTAAAGCAAAATTCAAACCACTGCAACAAGAGCAAGTTTTATGTATCGACGAGCAGATGGTTCCGTTTACTGGGAGGTCAGGGCTGAAACAATATCTTCCCAAAAAGCCCCACAAATGGGGGTATAAAATCTTTATGTTGTGTGGAACAGATGGTTTGGTACACAACTTTGAAATATATACAGGAAAGATACATGCTGTTTCTGGTTACCCTGATCTCGGAGCTAGTGCTAACATAGTCATCAAACTGACCGATAATGTGGAGAATGATGTAAATCAGTGGTCGGCAACCACCGGGCCGCGGCCCATCGCCGGTCCGCGGAAAGGCTACTTCCGGTCCGTAGAGGGGTGACACAAAAACGGACAATGCTGTAATAAAACCTCTACAATCTAACCTACGACTTAAATACAGCACCCAACAGTAAACCAAACAAACACAATACCAGGGGTCGGCAAATCGCGGACCAAAGGCGGCCCGCGAGCTAATTTGTTTCGGCCCTTGAACGACCCGAATGTTAATACATAAAACAAAAATTGATCCCAAAAAAGTTCGAGTTAATTTTGATTTTAAAAATGTCTGGGAAACGGAGCGACGAGGGTCGAGCATTCTAAAGCGCTTGGACAGAAAAATATTTTTCTTTCTTGGGCATAACAAAACCGGTTTGGTCGATATGCCCAGTCAGCATCGCAGTTGTTAAGGGTTTCAATGTTAAACTCGTTACGAAACGAGTCGTCGAAAATTCGATCCCGAGACCCGGGACTGTGCCACAGCTCATCTGTGCGACATTGCAAAACGTGTAATGTGCACGTTCGGAAGAACATATGGCCTTGAGCACCTTCATCTAAAATGCATTTCGTACTCGCTTTTCAGATTATCATTTGGAAGACAGGTTGCCATAAAAACATCATCTTTCATGTTGAGAAAAAGTAAATAAAAACAATGTATTGTTGGATAACATATTAAAAAAACGCCACATACACACAGGACAGGATTTCAACACAGCAATAGAAGGTCAGCAATGCGAATGCGCCATAATTTGAAGTATAATAAATGTAGCGATCGTTCGAAGGCGGAAATATTGCGGCCCGCACGCTACTGGAAATGTGTATATTTGGCCCGAGAGAACATGAAGTTTGCCGACCACCGCACAACACTATTGAGCAGCATGTCTGACTTCATAAACAATCGCCATGCCAGTATGTCGCAATAATGCTGGGTCAATTGATTTCCATACGCCCGTATAAGAATGTCTCTCATCAGTCCGAATAAGATCTCCACAACGAAATGATACAGGCTTTGTTAACCTTTCCGAAATCTTTTTAATGTGAGGCCTGGTTTTCAATATTGATAACTACAAAAACGAAATATCGAAGTAGGCTGGATGTAAGAAACACGTTACGTGTGTCAATGTCGACCATATCTCGGATATAAAACAATGGCCATCAAACAAATATAGATATTGCATTAAATAGCTTCACCGTCGTTTTTAGTATATTGTCAACATAAATTTCCTAATGCGTATAATTTATTGCATAAGCTTAGTTCGTTTCTATAAAGGTGGTCTGCCAAAAGTTTGGCCAGGCTTTACTGGTCCGTCATTTGAAAAAGGTTGCCGCCCACTGATGTAAATCACATACTCTGTTTTGACAATTGGTTTACGTCCATACCTTTGATGTCCGTTCTCGCCAAAAGGAAAATCTATTGCAGGGGTTCTCAAACTTTTGGTGTTGCGGAGCCCCTGAAAAGGTTGACCATTATTCGCGGAGCCCCAAAAGAAATGTTAAAATTGTAGCTTTCCGATAAATATTCCTGAGTAAGTTAAAAGTACTTAACTTATTTTAAAGGCTAAACCTTTTTTTAATGGGGTTAATGCAAGTCATAAATAAATCAAAATTTCAAAGATAAATTATATATACTCTTACTAAAGCTGTAAATTTGACACTTGACAAACATATTAATAAACTATGGGTCGAATCTTTTCCCTTTTGACGTTTTCGGAAGACTTAAGTTAACTTAAAACTAAAAGACTGCTAATAACGTGCGCGATTGCATTTTGTTACAATCACCGATAGTTTTCGTCAGCATGGCATGTTAAACATCTTTACGCCAGTGTTTATTCTCCCTAAATCAAAAATTTTCTTCGGCTTATACACGTATTGTTCCACAATGACGACGAATATTGCTTTTTTGTTCTCGTGGGGAATTATGAGTTCAATGTGGAAAACATGTTACCATATATAGTCATCGGCGACGAAATGCTAAAAATAATAATTAATAATAAAGAGGTAAATCCGCAACTCAAATTTCTTGATTGAAAAACGGCATTCCAAAATATTAAATTTCAAAATAAAAGATCACACTATAAGTTTGGTTTTAGCAGACTCACGTCAGATTAAAAACGCTTTTATAGGCATTGTCAATCACAAAATTTGGTGTAATGTTTTCTTTGGTTATTCGTAGTACAGTAACTGAGAAATCGAAACACAGTCAATTGTGTGCGCGATTTACCTTTTTTTTATTCTGAAACTACCGACGGAGCCTCATGCATTAAAATAAATTTCAATCGTATTTTGCCCAGATCTTGTGATTTTTTTAACGGCGATATCTTGCTTAATAATAATCTCGAGTGCAAAAGAACAAATCAAGTTTGACAAATTCCAGAATCGCAAAAATACGACTCCAATTTATTCATAGGTGGCAGTTTATCACGTATTTTATGTTATTTTAGAATAGTATTCCTTCATTTTAGTAATCCTAATAGTAATCTCGAATGAAACTTGAGTAACTATGAGTACAATTGAATTATTACGACGAGACACTTTAAATGCTTGCATCGGCCATACATTGAATATTTTACGCAACAGAAATCTCGTTATCCGTTTTTTTAATCGCAAAGAATGTTGCGCGGAAATTTCCGATTCAAATCCCCACCTCTTGAGAATCCTGGCTGCGCTCCAGCTTATAAATAATGTCATTTTTCGATTCCGCCTCTTTGCCATATTTCGAGGCTATAATGTTGTCAAATTTTATCAAAGCTGTTATTGTTTCTTTGAACAGTTACAAAACTAGTCATTATTTTAAAAAGTAATCGGATAGCTCACGGAGCCCCTAGGTTTCTCTCGCGGAGCCCTGGGGCTCCGTACGGAGCACTTTGAGAACCTATGATCTATTGTATAGGGACGGCGAGACAAAATCGGTTATTGGGATGCGAGCTGGAATCTGACAAAGATTTGAAAAATAGAGGACGGGGATGTTATCAGGAAAAGACGTCATGTGTTGAGGACACTGAAATAAGAGTTGTGAAGTGGTATGATAAACGAAGTGTAACTATTGCCAGTTCGTTTGCCAGCGCCATGCCCACATCAGAAGTCCGAAGATGGGACAACGTCACGAAACAGC